ATCGATATAACTTTGAGTTTGCAATAAAATTGTTTCAAATTCTCGCTTGCAAATAACTTTGCTTTCTTTTTTATTTAAAAAATTCAATATAATAAAAAAGGTAATCAATATTAAAGATATACTGAAATTATATTCTGTCTTGTTTTTTAATAGTTGTTTCATATACGCAAAGGCTGTCGAGTTTTAAAGCCATTATAAAATCAATATTTAAAACAAACTTACCTTCGTTAACGTCGGCTCCCTTCTTTTAGCCAATTCTTTCGCAGTTTCTTCCTGAGAGAGCTTTTCAAATTTACAAACTATTGCAAAAATGCGAGTAAAAATGAAATATATTTGCAAGAAATTTATCAATCATGAATCATCAAATCAAGAAATGTTTGCTATTTCACTGTCGTGATGCAGTCGTTTATGCAAACTTTAAATTGGACCAATCAATGTCCGCTATTGATGACAGTCCGCCATATTTTTGAGGTCAGTGAGGATGACCACCCACCCAACACCGTTGGTGACCCACGCCCGCGATATTTGGTGAACTTTAGACTCCGCTAATGCTTTCGTTTCTCCGAGTGTAAATAGCCGGGGGGAATTAGTACCCTAGCACGGCGCTTTGCGCCGTCGGCTCAGGGACAATACAAAAACATTTTCAAACCGATAGTTTTGCCACTTGTCAGGGAGCAGTCATTATTAATGCCTGGGGTGTGCCGGAAGAAATAAAACAAACAAAAAATATCAAAGAAAGTAGGGGGGCAACAAAAATAATGTACAATAATCATAAAACATCCGCAATTATTCACTGTTTAAAGTTAAATGTTTCTGTTTGCAGATTGGTCAAAACCATTTCACGTGCCGGTCCACAGAACGTCATGTTCATTGCATGCTTTGCTGAGGAGGCATCCGGTCCACAATGAAATATTTATTGACCGGTCAATAATAAAATGGGTGCAATTTGTCTCGGGCACAACAGTGGTCTTGGGTCCACAAAACACACTGTTTCCCTTGGTCTCAGTAAATAAGTGATAAATGATATACAAGTATAGGTAATCACACAGGAAGGAGTGCAACTAATGATTAACACTACAAGTGATATTTAAAAAAATGTGCCAAAATTGCACAAGTCGTTGATCATTAATTGCACGACTTGCCCGTGTGATTATTTATTTATTTTATGCATGACAAAATTGATTTCTTTAAAATTCAACTTCATTTTGTCAAGAGTTTTTAATTTATTTGTAAGCAATTTGGCATAAACAAACTTGGGAAATGATCATAAACTCATAAAGGCACATAACTTAAACTAGGACAAATTATTCAAACTCAAATAACATATATTTTTTAATTTTTAGAGAAGGAAAATCTTTATAAATTGTATTACAGACTTACATAGTCAACTTTTCCTGCATCTCGCCCAGATTATTTCTTAAAACTGTTTCCAGGTATTGCCTGCTACTAACTCTTGACGAAGGGCCTTCACTCGAAACGTTGAGTTTCTGCTTGTTTTCTAAGGTAGTAATATAACCACTCAGCACAGCGTTTTCACATTGGTACTACCTACACTGGTACAGACAGTTTTAGTATATATTTCCCACAGGCTCTTTTTGCCATACTTTGTTTTTTAAACTCATTCTTGTGCCAAAATTTAGTTAAATTTGTCCATGTGGTATTTATCAAAATTAGACACATTTCGCCGCCATATTGGACTTTTGTTGTGTAGATTTCCCGCTCCCCCCCCCCCCCCACCATCATTAATTGCACCACAGGGTCAGTATAGACTTTATATACTAGTACCATTGAGTGCAAAGTCTCAGAAAATATTAGTCCAACAAAAGAGGAATAAACTATCGAATAGGCAAGTCAATTCATTTTAAAATTTATATTTTGACATATTTTTACTATATTATAATATACATTACTATTTAAAGTCTATACCGACCCTTGCGAGATTGGGCCGCCTGTGATCTATAGTATATGTTTAGAAAGCAAGTTCAATCACAGGGGGAAGAGAGGGGGGAGGCTATGAAAATTTATATCTTTAATTTTATATCTTTAAGGAAGGGCCATGAAAAAATATTTTGAAAGAATTGAGGGGCCATGAAAATTTACCAAGAGTTTAAAAATATCTTCCACCACCTTCGCATTAATGCTCGTTTGACAGTTGTGAAATCAAACTATTACTATATTTTTACAATCGCTAACTTGCTAGTGTATTTTATCCTATGTTACGTTTCAGTATATTTACGTTATTGTCAGCCAAATTTTGGTTATAAAGTATCGAACTGGTTTATTACCCTAATTACCGGTTTACTTCGTCCAGAATTTTGGATGAACACAAAAACGGGCTGAGCCTTATTTTCTATGCAAGGGGAAATCAGGCTCTGCTCTCAGGGTATCAATTCAGCAAGTAACTTCTGGTTTACATACCTAATGGCTAGGCTGGCTCGCCCCGTTACATACTTTTTGGAGTTAGCTTCTTCAAGGCTAAGATACCTAGTTTTATTTTTGAAATTATACCTAGCTCCGAATGATTTTTGGAGTTAGCCAGTAACTGCAGGTTTAGATGCCCAGCTTATAAATGATTTTTGGAATTCTACCTAGCTCCAAATGATTTTTGGAGACTTGGATTCACCCAGTAAAGGCTTAGATACCTTGCTTCTAAATTATTTTTGTAGTTATGCCTAGCTCCAAATGACTTTTGAACCTAGCCCCAATTAATACTCTAAAGTTTACAATGCTCTCCAGACTTATGTATTTTTTATTAAACTCTGCAGTCGCAAGCACCCAAAGCGTGTGTGAGATAAATTATACTGCGCATGAGAAAATGTATACAAAACTATGTATACAGATCCGTAGCTGATCTATTTGTGCAATAGACTGTTAATATTTGTGCATGCAATAGACAGCCCCCGACTACAAAGTTCAGGTATATATTTGGCATTGTAAGTTGAGCAGCTATTGTACTAACCAATTCCCTTTCGGCAAATTCCTAACTTGATTTGGTATAATGTGATATATTTTTAGCTAATAGAGATGTCCCCTTACGGTTGAGATGTAAACCTCTTGAGTTCAGACAAATGGCATCAATCAGTTTATGGTCAATAAATTTTACTTTTAGATTTACAGCAAATAGTGTTAATTGACTTATTTGTTTTGTTAACTTTGTCAGATAGTTCTGGCTTGTCTGATCTAGTTAATTAACTTGATAGACTATTTAAATTGTTGGTGAATCTTCTTGTATTTGTGTTGAAATATTTGCAAATTCCCTCAGCTACCCGATTAGGAGGTAATTCCCTTAGATCATTAGTGCCTACATGTAGGATTAGTTTTTGTGGCTCTTTGTGGATAACTATTCACAACTGATTGTTATGGGCATTTAACTATGGTTCGTGCTGCACTCTCGCCATTGTAAATGCCTATAAAGATAAGCTGCTCATATTTTAATGCCAATTCCTGGCCATTTAATGAAAATTGGAATATTTATTTTCGAGATATTGGCAGAAAAATCAGCTTTGATTGGTTTTATTTTTGTGCATCCAAATCACTGTTTATTGACTTAAATAGCAGGCTATTCTGATCGGACAAAAGATTTGTATCCAATACCCGGGCAACGCTTTCCAATAATTTGTAAATAAATATTGTTTAAAATAGTTTTATTATTTTATGATTTTTCAAGAAAGAAACTCATGGTCGATCACTTCTGGTCATTCAGGGTCACTTGTGTGTACTTTTAGTCGACAAGATCAATTTACAAATGTGAAGACTAGACAAAAGTTTTAGTAAAGGAAAAGAAAATAACATAATAAAGATTCAAAATAGTTAAAAACCAAACCTATTTACCCTTTAATGTAAATATTCCATATTCCAGAGATGCCATATATACCAACTGAACACTATAAATTTCTATTTGTGTTAACAGTTCACGATGAAATATACTGCGGATGAGCACTTGAACAAATGGAGGGATGAAGAGGTTTCGTTATTTATGAGAGACAGAGACATGAGACTGAAAAAACAAATCGTGTCGCAAAAATTTTATACCCCCCCTCCCGACAGGGATGCCGGAAGTTATTCAGGGCAACGGGTGCAATTTGTTATTAAAAAGGGCATATTTTTGACAAAAGGGCACAAACAAAAATGAAAAGGCACTTAAAAACCTATGACACAAGTTAACCGAAGAAGACACGAAGAGTTCGATAATTAATATAAACGAAAAGCTTTTATTGATTTCAAACAAAAACTACCACTATATATTGAGGCATGTAGTCTTTCATGCATAAAGTATTTCGTGCTCACTGTGCGTTTTACGTAAGACGGTAAGATAGTTTAATGTGGTTGTCCAAAGTAATCTTTCCTTTGAGAAGACCTTGAAATAAAGTCTGCTGTTAACTTCTTTGCGTTAACGTCGTCAATTCTTTGCTTGTGAATTGCTGCAAACATGCAATTTGTGAGCATCCCTGGACACATCCGTGATCTGAACCAGGTCTTGACACGTCTCATGACACTGAATGTCCTTTCCGCAGTTGCAGATGACATCGCATATGTGGACAAGAGAATTAACAGCTTATGCGTCTCAGGAAGTGAAGCTTTCGAGACAGGCTTTGTATTCAACACGCCTTGGATAGTTGATACAGCAGTAACCTTTTTAATTACAGGCATAGATTCCAGTTTAAGTTCCATGTTGTACAAATTGACGTGGACATGTAGGTCTTTCAATTCGTCAATCAAAAGTTCTACTTGCACGAATTTCGCAGCGACGCCAAGGTGCTTAATGACATATTCAGTGGTGACATCGACCTCGTTGTTAGCACATGCGATTAGCATTCGGTTGATATCTTTGACTGTTTTAATGTCATTTTGATCAAACCTTTCCTTCATCGAACTCACGATGCTGTCAATCGCACATATATATACACGTTTGAGTTCCGTTTTAAGATCATTGGAATCGTGTCCACTGGGTGCCACATCATGAGCGATAAAGTCTTCGAGTCTTTTTGGTGCCTTTCTTGGTCTGCTTTCATTTGTCACATCAATTTGTATTTTCAAATCTTCAACTTTCCTAATGAGCTGGAAAATAAAACGTATATGTAGCTATAATAAATACACTGAAATGACTAGATATTGGTAATATTTATACTGATTATACACATATTTTACTAGTCATTGGCGTTCTCAGTTCTCTGTTAAACTTTGTACTACCTTTTCAAATTCTTGAGCACTGGATCTCATCTCCGCTAGCCTTATTTCAATCTTGTTGATGCAGTCCATTGCTTCTTCCGCCGTGACATCATTTTTCTGTAGATTTTTTTAGTTCATTTCCAGAATGTGTGCTAGATCTCTCATAAGAAACATATTAAACATGTGCTTGGCAGTTTCCAGTTTCGTGATAAGCCCCTTTGCTTTGGCTTTGCATTTGCCATCAGTATTTTTGTCCTTGGAAATAATCTTTAAAGTTGCTAATAGTTCTGCGTGGTTTAAAGTTATAACGTTTCCTGCAGCCCCTCTTGTTGTCCACCTAGTCCTTGAGAGGTTCTGGAGGCGCAACACATCATCACTGTCAATCTCATCCTGGATCTTGGCAAATAGAGCCACACGTTTAGGGCTGATCCCTACAACAACATACAGATCTTCACATAGTGTCTGAGCGTCCTCCAATGCTGGGTAATGCTTGGTTGGCATCTTTGAAGATCAGTTCTTGGCAATGCGCTAAACAGTGAATGAATATGGCTGATTCGTTCATTTCACTTTTGATTTTCCTTGCCAGTGATTTCATGGCCATTGCACCATCAAATGTCATTCCAACTAATCTTATCACATCCAGTTGACACCTTATTAAGATATCTCTGATGTATTCAAACAGAGCATCTGTTGTTACACCTTCCCTGCATTCATAAATGCCAATAAAATCTTCTTTTACTTCATACTCTTCAGTACAGTGACGGACTTATAAGGACATGTGTTCTGACTTTGAGATGTCTGTGGCCTCATCTACAATGATGACATAGTATTTGGCACATTGGAGCTCCATGTTTAGTGCTCGTCTAGCCTCGAGTACAAGCATTTCCTGTTGCTCTGCAAGCAAGCTGTGAGACAAAAACCTGTTCTCTTTCATTAATAATTTTAGCCCAGGAATATGTTGACTCTTATCTTTATTAAACTGGTAGACATTGCCTTCTTTATCTTCCTGGCGTCGAATGGCTAAACCTTGTCGAAGGAGTGTTTTTAGGGTCCCAAAATGGGCTTCTAGCCCCTCTTGCCGTAATTTATTATTTCTGCATTCTTCATCACTAAGAAGCTGCGGTATCTTTTCCTTTTCTTTTAACAACTCATTTGTCTTACACTGCCTATGGTAATCAGATAACTGGTGCATGTTAAAGCGTTCAGGGCCTTTGTTCCATGACGAAAATCCATCTGATGTTTCATCTTTATAAATGAATGTTGCTTTGGGATCATGACCTCCTTCCTTTTGATTTTTTTTTTTATTTAAACATATTTTATTACAGACATTTTCTCCAAGAGCATAGCTCATCGAGGGAGATTATGTCGGATTATTTACAAACTTTAAGTTGTTCACATCAAGACAAAGAGGATTACATAAAAAAAAAGATTACATCAAAACAAATCGAATAATCATAGTGTGGAAGAACTTCTGGTATTCATTCTCAAGCTTTCCATGAAACATATTATTATAAGAAATTTATATGGAAGAATTTACCACACCAATGTTTTTACAGACCAATGTTTTACAAAACAAGTTTCAATAAAAAAAAAAGAAAAAGTTACTCGGCCTGAAACCGTTTTGTATTTAAAATAAATAATTGGACATTTTGAATTAATTTTACATTATCTTCATGTCCAAGATTTTCCGACCCATGCAAAAGTATTTCAATTTTCCGATTCTCTGATAAATTCATCCACATAGGATGGAGCAGCCGCGCAGGAAGTGAGAGCAATTGTTCACGTTGGGCAGCAAATCGAGAACAATATAAAAAGTAATGTTTGACAGTTTCCATTTCACCCCATCGACATACACAAAAGGGGGAATTTGCACAATTAATTCTATATAGGTGAAAATTAAGCGCACAGTGACCAAGCCTGAGCCTGGTATGGAGTATTGAGCTATATCTACTTAGTGATGCATTGTATTTTACGTTATATTTTTGTCCACAATACATATTACATAAGGTAACTTTAAAGGAAGATAGCGTCTCTATATTTCGTAAATCTGGATCAAGATCATTCCAGGCAGTTATTGCCGATGGAAAGAAAGATTTTTTAAATCGTTCAGTTCTCACAGGTATATTAGTTAAATTATCGTTAGATCTTAGAAAGTAACTGGATCTTTGGTTTACATATGGAGGCAAAAGATCACAAAGGTAGGATGGTGCAGTGTGGGTAACAATTTTATAAAAAAAGGATAGCTTATGAATATGTCTCCTGGTTTTCAAATCCTCCCAACATAGTTCTTCCAATAGACGATTTCTATTTGTTCCCCTTATTGCACCAGTAACAATGCGAGCTGATTCGTACTGAACTGCTTCTAAAAGATTTGCTTCCTCTATACTACATCCATCCCATATTACATCTGCATATTCCATTAAGGGTCTAATCAGACTTTTATATAAGCATATCAGTGTTGACCTTTTAAGCTTATATTTAACCCTTTTTAATGCGTTCATTCTTTTACTAGCTTTTTGATGTATGCTTAGAATATGTTTTGACCAAGAGAAATTTGACGTAAATGTTAAACCTAAATGTGAATGAGAATCAACTTCGCGTAATGCAGTGCCATTTAAGTATAAGATTGGCTGAGGAAGTCGGTTATGTTTCGTTGAAAATGTAATGCTTTCGCACTTAGTAGGATTCAATCCCATCAACCATTCCATACACCATTGGTTAATGCTATTGAGATCCTCGTTTAGTCTAGAATCAAAGGATGATAAATTATCAACAATTTCAAGTAAAGATGTGTCATCAGCGTAGAGAAAACAGTCAGATACAATATTGTTGGAAATATCATTTATGTATATTAGAAAAAGCAATGGCCCGAGCACTGAACCTTGTGGAACACCAGCTTCAACACTCAGCCAGCTCGAGCATTGCCCCTCAATGACAACTCTTTGTTTTCTATCAGACAAATAACTACAAAACCAGCTTAAAAGTGGGTCTTTTACTCCAAGAGATTTTAATTTGTACAATAAACCCTTATGCCATACTTTATCAAACGCTTTGCTAAAATCTAAAAACACCATACGGACTTCTTTACCCATTTCTAGAGCTTCATAGATCTTATGAACTATATACGTAAGTTGGTTCACAGTGCTGTCTCCTGGTCTAAAACCGGACTGAAAATCATTAAGGAATCTAATTTCTAATAAAAATTCATATAGTCTAGTGAATACAATTTTTTCTGGTATTTTGGATATAGACGGTAAAAGTGATATGGGACGATAGTTCTTTTTATATTGATGATCATCTTTTTTATAGACAGGAGTTACATTTGCTTTTTTCCATTCAGTTGGATACTCTCCTATTCGGAGACTTGTGTTAATTAAATATGTAAATGTTTTGGCAATTCCACGGCTACATAATTTAATAATTCTATTGCCAATACCATCATGACCGCTAGCTTTTGTAATATCAACTTTATAGAGGAGATTAATCACTTCTTCTTCTGTTGTTTGAACTATAGACAACGTTTTATCTGTGTGATTAGAATAATAATCTAGGACTGGTAGTTCATGATATGTGTCATCAACGTTCGCTTCACTTACAAAATATTCATTAAATAAATCCGCTTTTTTTTGTGCATCGCAAACAATCTGAGATCCCTCCCGTATAACTGGAATTGATACACGGCAATTATTATTAAAAACTGACTTAACATAACTCCACCATTTTTTTTGGCCCAAACGAAAATCTGATAATTGGATATTTAGTTTGTCATAATATTTTATTTTTGTTTCTCGAATCAGAGTTGTCGTGTAATTCCTTTGATCTTTATATTTCTTCCACAATAAACGAGTTTTTTTCTTAGAAAATTGCTTTAAAATTCTATTTCTTTTACGAATTGCACTTCTTACAGCGCATGTCATCCATGGTTTATCGTTAGGACGTATTACAACTATTCTATTTGGAATATGCTTTTTAACTGTTGAGTAAAAATAGTCAAACCAATTTTTATAAACATCGTCAATCCGGTTATTTTCTCTTTCACAATTTTCCCAATTAAGATTTGAAAGTTCCTCATTAAGCTGTGCTATATTGATATTGGAGAAATCCCAAATGTGTCGTTTAAAGGACTTTTGCTTATAGTACGGAATTTTCATTTTTGTGTAGATGTAGGAGTGATCACAATTCGATGGTGGACTACATGTACCCGAATCAGAAAAATATCGTGGACAATTAGTAATAACAACATCTAATATTGTAGATGTAGTTTCTGTTACACGGGTCGGCTCTCTGATTATTTGATACAATGCATTGCACTGGAGCCAATGGTTAAAGTGATTACCAAAACCAGTGCTTGATAAATTATTACAATCGTAGTGAGCGTTTAAGTCACCGATTATCATTATAAACGTGTGTGGGTTTTGACGTATTTTATCTATAATACTTTGTAAGGAATCCAAAAAAATTGATACATCTTGCAAAGAGTTATTTGGCGCTCTATAACAAACTCCGCATAGTAAGGTTTGTTTATGTACTTTTACTTCAACCCAAAGTAATTCTAGATTGTTATTTTCTAAATCATTACGTCTCTTAAATGCTAATGACTGTGTAATGTATAATGCAACACCACCACCCCGTGTATTTAGTCTATCTTTCCTTACAATAGCATGAAAACCGGGTATGCACAGATCATCATTCGAAATTTGGCTGTTTAGCCATGTTTCAGTGATCGCAAACAATTCAAAATTTTTTTGCAAGATAAAAGAAGAAATTTCCTCAAATTTTTCTTCATTCACTAGACTTCTGGCATTGATATGACCAATGTTAAGACATGTCATCATTGGACCAGGATTTAGTTCAACATCACCTGCCATTATTAACCGAACCATTAAGTAGTTAGAAATCAGAATGTAAATGTTGAGTCCAGAAGTAGTTATCAATACTATTGATATGCTGAATCTAGCACGGTTAAATTTTCTGTTATGAGATGTTCCGATTGCTGCTCTGTGAACCGTTAGACTAATTGCCATCACATAGACGCGAACACTTTGTACCCTGCACGGCTGCTGCAAAACATCTTACAATAAATCTTGAACTTACACAAGGAAATAAACATAAACGAAAACTTAAGAACATAACAATCAGACATTCTTCCACTAAAAATATACGATCAGTGATAATAAGTATTATAAATGCTAAAAAAAGTTGAGCTTCATGATTCATTTGAATTGGGTTTTAGTGGCTAGGTATGGCTATTCAATATAACAATAAAGTAAATTGTATTTATGAATAACTTTCTAAAGCAGCTTCATAATGAGTAATGACAAATAAGCATTAAATTCTAAAGAGTCTCTTAATAGTATAATAATTAGTTGTTATGGCAAATCACATTAGCTTTAATTCGCCGATGAGATTTGCATATTCAATCAGCACATCTCATGCAAAGCTCTCCTATATATATATATATTCAAAAAAACAAAAACGTTCGGATTTTCGTTAAATTATGTTTTACAAAGTCTGAAATTCTTCATTGCTTATTATCCGTTCCAACAGTACGCAATCCTCAACAATTCACAGCAACAATTCACAACGTTAACAGTATAAAATTATTCTTAGACCTAGTTCTAGACGAATAGTCCATGCATAAAGCTGACACTATTGTCAGTAAGATGGATCGGTTAGGTTAAACTTCAAGAAATCATTGAATTGACGAATTCGAGTAATTTTATCATCCAAGTTGCGGACTAAAATCTTTCCATCTGCAGACCAAGCTGATTTAATAAAACTTTTCTGATCACGGGCATAATTAAGCAATTCAATATTGAACTTAGTTAAATCTTCGTTAATATAGTATTGTGTACCTTTCAAAAGTTTGCGTTGCCTACAGATTTCCGCCTTTGCACTATACGATTTAAACTTTACAATTACAGTTCTTGATCTCCCGCTAAGCGCTTTCGGACCAAGACGATGTGCACGATCGATATCCCTCTCGTCCACATTAACGTTCAACTTTTCTTTACAGAGCTTAATTACTTCTCTAACGCAATTCTCGCCATCGTTTTCATTCAGACCAACGATTCTTAAATTATACTTTCGGGAATATTGCTCGTTTTCGTTTGCTTGAACACGGACATTTGTTAGTTCTGCTTCCAATGCTTCTATCTTTTCCAAAAGAGGTTTTGTGGCTTGTTGGACAGATTCTTCAACAAGAGTAGACACTGCTTTGGACAAGATTTCTTTAAATTCACTAGACCGAAAAAAGTCGTTTAGTTCACTTCGCATTGTTTCCCTCATGTCGGTTCGAAGCTCGGTGGACTGAGAAGCTGCTGCTTGTCTAGTTTCTGGCATATCAATTTACTTGTTACTCACTATAAATTATTAACAATTAGCCTTCTTGACCACAAGAAGTTATCACATATATGATAGAAATGTGATAAATAACGGAGCTCAACAAAACACGTCTGCACTCCTCGAGATACACTGGGAACCATTGATTTGATGATTTGATTTCCTTTTGATTTGATGAGCAGATGGAACAAAATGCAGTTTGCTTTCCTCTGTGGTACTGCAACCAAGGCCAAGTTGTAAGCCATTTACCATTGAAACATCTGTCCTTTTTTCGACTCTCTCCTCTAATAATAGAACAGGGTGAATTGGACACGACCAGTGGCGGCATCAAGGGGGTAGGGGGGTTGGGCATCTGTCACCTAATATTTATCCCCCCCTCCTAATTTGCTCCCTTGAAAATTTAGCACTCTAGCATTTTATTTTAGTATATATGCGTATGGCCTTCATCAGTCAGGTCATAGCAACCTGGTTGAAACGTCTAACAGAGACAACTTTTTAAATATATATTTTATCTACACAATGCTTGTGTACAATTATTCTATTTGATGATTATAGTTTGATAGAAAAACATGAGACTACCAAACACAAGGAACATACGTACTGTCCTATATATAATGGACTATGAGCTATCACATACCCCTCAAAAAGAATCGGGTTGTCTCTCCCCCCCAAAAAAAAGCAAAAAATGCCACCTCCACTGGACACAAGGGCAGTGCAGCACTGGCTTTCAGCGATAATTAATACGAAACACAGTGAGACACTGCTAATAATTTGGGGTGCACCCACCCAAATGTTATAAGTATTCTAAAATTATTACAGTACATTCTGTATCTTTGCAATTTCTTATCTTTAGCACCATCATTAGAGAAAATTAGGCGAATGAATGCAAACAATTTTGTTATTAGGTACTTGTGCTGCTGAAGCTTCTCATGCTGAGCCCTAGGATGAATCTCACTTTATATGAGTGCTTAATTATAACATTGTTGATATTTTAGTATAGCACTGCTTAGATAATTCGGCATTTTATTGTTTGTGTGGACAGTAGCGTAGCCAGCGTCGATAATTGAGGGAGCGAATATTCATATATCATGTTCTGCACTATTAATTTATTTTAAAATCGATTGTTTTTAAGGTCTGTGAACATGAATATATGAATATTCGCCCCTCCAATTATCGACGCTGGCCACGCCAGTGTGTGTGGACAATTATTATTTTATGATGAATGATGAAATCTAATGATATACTGTAAATATATGAACCTAAAATACCTAATCGTCCAGGTGAATTCTTCTTCTGTACTTATCCACTCCACATCTTGTGTGTCACTGTTGACAGAGTTGTGGTCTACATTAGATTCAAATTCAATTTCGTTTTGTGGACGTGAATAGATATCCACATCTTCGCCTATTACTTCAGTATTATCAAGCTCTTCTGCAGCAATGGGACGACTTTGATTGTTGACGATTTGACTCGCTGTGCCGACGGTGTCCACAACTTTCACATGTTGTACTGGTGCTTGTACATCAAAGAAAGAATTAAGTTTTTTTTTACCTCGAGCAGCCCCCGCTTGATCTAGCAACTTCCGCTTCTGTGCAGAAACCCTATCTTTTTTAGGCATTCAAATAATCTTCGAGAAACTGAATTAAACATTATGATATTAAATGCTTCATCGATTTTGGCACCTTTGCTTCGTTGATGACCGCGCCAAATTTCGTCGAGACTTTAGTCCATCAGTACGTCATGTTACACGCAATATAATGTACAAATAATAATATTCCAAGGAGTGAGACACGACTTGAAGCAAAAACAATGCTCAATGGTCTCAAAATAAGTGAGAATCCTGTACATAGAATTATGCGGTTATACTAGTATAGTAAATTAATATATTATGGTTCAAATAAGTATTTTGTTTCTGTCAAATTTGTTTCGTTCTGCACCCATTGTGCACCCGTAGTGCACCCGTAAAGTTGTGAAGACAAAGGGCAACAGGTGCAACTGCACCCGCTGCACCCGTGGTTCCGGCATCCCTGCCTCCCGAGATTTCTAATGGTCCGCCCCTAAAGTAAAATTAAACATGAAAGTAGCACAGCATATGTTGCACTCTGTACCTGCTCATTTGAGCATCTCCCAGGATAAATGGCACATACAAGAGCAAAAATATTAAAAGAGCACTGACTCCGAATAAGCGTAAAGGGTTTAATATTGCTCATCAGAAATTTGGAAATGTGCAATTCTGTTGCGGTATAAATATAATAATTTTACAGTATCACCCTCAAAAATAACATGATCACCCTCAAAAATGGGTATATAAAGACTGCTGGCAGTATAATATTTGAGAAATTCAGAATAAAATGTATTATACATAACCAGGCCTGCAAGTAAGCTTAACAGACAAACAAAATAGATTTTGGTTTTCACTTATTTCCAACAGACGTCACGTCATTTGATCAATTTCTAAATTTGTTTCTTTTTTAATTTTTAAAATTAATTTGGTTAGGGTTATAGTTGGGGTTAGGGGTAGAATAGGGGTAGGGTTTAGCCTGCGAGCAGGCTCTCTGGGGGTTAGTTATGTAGCCGTTTAACACCTGTTCCATCTTCCAACAATGACAAAAGGTGGTTGGAAATGAATACTGACTGTGGTATTCTTATAGTATGATAATACGATCGAGGCACGCTCTTTGAGTGGTTATCACAATAATAAATTTAATATCCATGGAATGCTAGCTATATACAAGTGACATCACATAAGTACATGACGTCAGGTTCTGACCATACATTTTTGTGCAGAAATGCGTGACAGATTGTTATTTAAATTTTACTTTTCTCAATTTAAACATTTTAGCATCATAGTGAATATGATATGCCTATATATTAAATATATAATATATAAATGTGTTGGTATACTGTCAAATATAGATATATATTACAGTCGTGCCAACAGAAGCGTTCTGAAAAATGTTGACCAGTTCATTTCCTAACTTCGAGGAGTTCCTCTCAACAATTCCTCAACAATTTGATAACTACTTAAAAAGTTCCTAACTTCGTGTTTCATTGACCAATCAGATTGCTCAAAACTAAAATATAAAATTTGATTGGTCAATGAAACAGGAAGTTAGGAACTTTGTAAAGAAACTTTCAAAATTTTAAGGAATTGTTCAGAGGTGTTCCTTCAAGTTAGGAAATGAACTGGTCAACATTTTTCAGAATGCTGAAATAATAATTTTTCTAGCTACTTCTTGCATACCACTGGCTCAACCTACAGATAACTGAGTTACAGTATACGTACCTGCTTGCCAGCAGATAACTCAGTTATTTGTTGGTTCAAAGCCACAAAATATGTCTATACTGTGTAATTAATGAAATTATTAATAACTTGTCATTGGTGACACATGCGGAGATTGTGAAAGACATTCCAAAACCATTCTGGCCTTGAAAGACATTTAACCCATAATTTTCATCATCTTAAAGGCTTGTTTACACTTGCAATTTTTGCTGTGATTTTAGGTACGAATTTCTTCTGATGGATGTGAACGAGTGGATAAGTTGTAAATGTTCAGATGAGGGTATACATATAATCAGAACATTCATAATCGTAACTTATCAGTCAAATCGTTCACATACAGAAGAAGGAGAAAATCACATTAGAAATCGCAGCAAAAATTGCAAGTGCAAACGGGCCTTAAGGTGGCGTCATAACCGTTGCTATGGTAACAATGACATTTCAATATGTCCGACATTTTACCTTTTAACACATTTTACTCGAAAAAAAGGCCGGTTACCCCCATTTTTTTTTTCTTGAAACGTCTTCATTCACAAAAATGAATGATGTGAACAAGTCTAAAAAAAATTCTGAAGATCCAAAAAATATCATGAAAAATTACGTTTTTTAATATTTTAACGAAATAAAAAATGGGGGTAACCAGCCTTTTTTCCGATTACAATTTGTTAAAACGTAAAATGTCGGCCATATTGAAACGTCATTGTTACCATAGCAACGGTAATGACGTAATTTTTGTCAACAATTTTCAACTCTTAGAAGATTGCTCAATATATGTGGCACAATTTTTGTCTTTTAACAAGAAACCTCTCTTCAAAAAATTAAATATAAATCACGATTTTGTCATATTTCAAAAACTGTATTGAGCCACCTTAATTAAGATATTTGTAATCATCCTATTTTGCTTTTTGTTTGAGCCATGCTCTACACATGTAATTTGCCTAGAGCTAATAGTGGCGTCACCTCTACAGAATAAACACAGTCTGGTTCACTGACATACACAACAGAAATTTCATCATTTTCAATTGTTGACGACTGTACGTCTGCCGAATACCAGCCTGGTTTCCATCCAGAATCTCCTCTGATATCCATCGTATTTTTACATTGGAGCCAACTTCGAAATAATCTTCATAATTAACTTCCTTACTACCAGTTTTGTTCTCCATTGTGTTTTCAACCTTATTCATGTTGGAACTGTGATGTGTTTTATGGTTCAGGTATATCAATAAAGTTTCAAATAAGTTCTCTAAGTTTTCCTTGGAGACACCATATGAAATTGGTATTTGGGATTTCTTTGCTAAATTCTTTCCAGGAAATTTTCTTGTTCGGTAAACGTCCAGTTGATCAATAATTTCACAGTTGACTTGACACAATATCAATGATTGAACCAATTTAATCAAGTCCTTTATTTCGCGTACTTGCATATAAGATGCCAAATGAGATCTTCTGTTTCGCAATAAAAACGCACAAAGGACCAAATTGTTAAAATATACTGAAGAGTTGCAGCAGGTAACTTTTTCAACATCGAAATACTTTTTGGCAAAGAACCGAAATCACCTTTATAGTTGGCTGGAAAATCGTCTGGAACGTCTTCATCTTGAGCAAGTGCCAACACCTTAACAATTACGTACTTCAGACCTTTGAATGAAACATTGTTTGTCTTGCACATTTGTTCTAATTCGGCCATGTTAAGTTTATAAAGAGGATGACTGCTCCCGTCCAATATTATCATGGCAGCTTTTGTCAGCTTTCTCTCTGTCTTGTTGAAGTATTCAGGTACTTCTTCAATTGGTAGCCATGAAAGGAGAGCTAGTTGTTGCAAGATTTCATTTGATGGATCATTTTCAATGTCAAAGAATATGTACAAGATTCGTGTTGGCAAAAATATATCACAGTCAGTAATTTCAGGCTTGTCTCTTGCGAGTTGCTCAGTTTTTTCGTACGAAAGAAAATGAAGTTCACCAGAATGAATCCAACGGATGTAATCAGGTATTGGCTGAAGTGTTTTTCCATTGTGATCATCAAAATGTGACGCATCACGCAGCATTGTCCCTTATTTGTCTTTGTTGGCTGTTCTGACACCAGACTGGTTAGCAATAATTTTGTAGTCTTCAGCATACTGACCAATGTAGTTTTAATCAAGTTTCCATGTTTCAACCAAAGTATTAAAATACTCATTTTTTGGGGTGGTGTGTCCGTCCAATCGCAGTCCATTTTACGCTCTTCATTTAAATTAAGATACTCCTTCAATTTGAGTTCGTTATTAAAAACAACGTTTTTCGCAACACCTCTAAAACACTGTATAAACGAATTTCCAAACCGTGCACATGATAAACATTGTTTAACATTTTCGGCCATCGATTCCATATTCTCGAGGTGTTCAGGACTATGTTTTTCAACGTTTTGGTGGACTTTCGAACTGCAAAATGCTCCATGTCTTGATAAGGCAACATTTTCAGCGGCGTGCACACGCTCTACAAAATTCCGTTTACTGTGGTATTCGGCAAAACTTCTCTGATTTATTTTATTCAGCTGTAATAGGTTCAGCAGGCAAACCAGGCACATTTGTGTGAGCACGCTGTTGGGATCCTCCCCATGTCCATTGTTGACAATGAAACTAAATAGACGCTTCAGACTACCAATGTCTGGGTTTCTAAAAACAGAGTCTAGAGATGGCAAAGTTAACAAGTAGAACATCTCGTTCATAGTCCGAAAGGTAGTTTCTGGTTCTGATATGCCAAGGTACAGTAACGTGACCAGTTTTCCTGTCCTTGTGACCGATATTTTCTTCATTCTATTGTCTTCATGTGAAACCTCACCAACACTTTCTAAATCCAAGAATAATTGAGTCATAGGTGCTTTGGTCAAAGGTGTGATCTTCATAGGAAATGGGTTTCCATGATTTCCAGGATATTGAACCGGCTGGATATCTCTGCACACTATGGCTTTCACATCTCTGGAATCAATAATGTGGTCATTTGGTGTTTTTTCTGCTTCCTCCAACATCAAATTTACCGCTTTAGTGGACCAATGAAGATTCACTACTAAGTGAGAAACTGCATCACATGGTGGGCGTTTTAGCGATATCCCAGCGTTAATGTTCTTCCCTGCATGGTGTCTTTTTGCAGCAGTAATAGCAAAAGAGAACCCTACTAGTAATCTGCCTCGTACCCGGGCACTATGTGTTGTTCTATGGCTTGCGTGGCCTTTGCATGGGCCTCGTGGATTAATTTGATCGATTTTTCAAATTTTCCGTTTTTCTCCCTAGCTTGCTGCCCCACATGTGCTCAATGATGCAAACAAACCAAAGCGCCTGGGTACGAGGCAAGCTAGTAATAGCAAAAGAGTTGGACTACAAAGGTCATAAACAAATAAGATTATGATTATAGAAAAACACTATATAGAAACTTTTTTGTCATATTAAATTCAAAAACAAAAAGTACAAGGAATTTTTCTACAATACCGGTGCCACTGGCATTTATAACTTATTACAGTACATGCTAAGCATTCTATTATTAGGTTCAGAAAATGGGCATGGAAAATGCGCAGGATCGAGATTTAGCAGTGATCTACACTAGAAATACCATATTGTAATTTTTATATGAACTGAATTGTTGGGCTTGATTGGTGGTCAGACTTCAGCATATAAGTTTGTTAATCCACAGGTTAATGAATAATGTATGTTATTCTATGTACCATTATTGGTATGTGTAATAAGGCCATGGGCATGGGAATGAAAGTTTGCGTCTGGGTAATTTTGAAAAAGCATGCGGCTTTTTTTCATTTTTTTAACATTTGTTTTGGGTGGTAAATAGAGAGATAAAAACACAAATTACTGTTCACGCCATGGAATTACATATATCACGAGCTCACACGGTCGCAGCACTGAAGGTCTGTGTGCCAATTTCGCGATTTTGGTAAATATAATTTGGAATTTCATATGAATGTGGATACTGAGGACAAACACACTGCAATATGTTCATTTCATTGTAATCAATACACAATTTTATTGCTAATTTTATTGAGTTTTGCTTTATTTGTGAAAATAATGATTTTTTTGTAAATAATGAAAATTTTAGGTGGTAGCTTTTGAGGCAATGCAGGCTGTGGATGGAAATCTATGATTTTCATTCTCATGGCCTAAATGTTATTTATAATATATACCATACTCTATAGGGTGCATAAAAATTGCTCTCAATTTTGCAAACCAGCTATTAATATGCAGTTTTTGATGTATAAAGCTTCTTTGGGTACTTATAATGTAGAATAATGAAAAAAATTCTCAAACTCAAATTTTGTGAACCAGGGGGTGCATCTTTTCCAACAAATTAAAAATGGCTTGCACATGAAATTTAAAAGCTTTAATAATTTTGGTTGGGTTTTTAATTACTGTACAAAATTTCAGACAATTTGCTTTAGTTTAAGCTGCTTTAACTATTTATTTTTCCTAAAAAAAACCCAGCCTTTCGCATGCTTAATTAATGCCTTTACTTAATTTGCATATTGCTGACATATGCAAATCAGGCAAAGGCATTAATTAAGCATGCAAATAGCTGATTTTTTGGAAAAAAATGCAAGTTTGTGTGAATAGTTAAAGGGGCTTAAACTGAAGCGAATAACACATTTTTCACCCATTAACTCAAAATACGATTAAAGCTTTTAAGTCTTGTGTGCAAGCCATTTTTAGTTTGTTGGAAAAGACACACACCCCTGGTTTACAGAGTTTAAGAATTTTTTTCTCCTTATTCTACATTATAAGTACCCAAAGAAGCCATATATATAAAAAAAACTGGATACTAATAGCTGTTTTCTTAAATTGAGAGCAATTTTAAATCTGTTCAGTTTTTTTTATACACCCTGTAGAATCTAATAATTGTTTATATTTTACCATTTTCTTAAATTAACTTTTTTGATGTTATAACTAGTGACAAATCATTTCTAATTTAAATGTTTTTAGAAAACCAGATTTTGCCATTCTTCCAACAAAAAAACAGATTTCTGCAGTAGAAGAGGTGATTTTCCACACAACTTACCAGACTGTTGGTATTGGTGAATTGCCTGCTGGACTACCAGGTGGACAAGTTAACTTAGAGTCTGTCATGGCATGGAGTATCCGGGAAATGAGATTACACCAAGTGGACGGTACTGGCAATGATCACACACTACACTTCAATCTGAAATTGGATGGTAGACCTTTCTGGGGTAAGACAATAAAGGGTTTGAATATACCTTACGGTTTTAATTTACTTTTAGCCCAATGGCCTCGTTTTCATGTGGTTATTTACTCTGTTTTGTGCACAATATATTTAACAATAAGCGATTGAGCTGAAGTGTCAATGAAAAACAAATTTGTACAGGAAACATGGGAATGTAACTTTCATGTGCACCTGCCATGGTAAAATAAGGCAAATGTGGAAACAAGGCCATAATCAAAAGTGAACAAACAGTAAGGTTTATTGTATTTGTAAGCTGGTGTGCTAACAAACATTGTCTGGCCAGAATACAGTATAGTTTTTCCAATTGTGATGCATATATTTTGGGTTTAGATGTAAGTGCAAATATTTTTCTGTCTCCAAGGTAAAGAACAAATATTGTTTGGTATGGTGCCAGTAAAACACATGCCATATTCGACTTCACAGAGCTCAAAGGCTGTCATACCATTGGCAACAGCAAACTGTGGTGAAAATATGTAAGTGTTATCAGCCTGGGTAAAATTAAGTGTTGGGATTTTTAATTACTCACTCTTTTCTGTCACTAATCACCCCTCCCGAACCTAGAAAAACCTAGAAAGCACCTGGATTAGGGACCTACAATCATGGTCAGATTTCTGTCATAATCATGCTGCTTATATTTTCGGCATGTGCAAGACTTATTTGATTGTGATATACTTAACAATGAAAAATCAAGCTCCCCTTCCTCCCTTTTCAATGTTGTTGTGATTCATATATTTACTAGTGTCATTACCAGATCAACACAAATTTGAGAGGGGAGAGGGGTGTTCACATTTTAAATCTTGAATAACCATGATTAGAATGAGAACCAAGAAAAGACCGGGATTATTTTTAGGCAAAATATCAAAAGCATGATTAAAAACATAACAGTTGCCAAAGAGGAACTTAAAAACAATAGAATGATAGTCGATGGTACAAGATATCAAATCAATTTCACGGGTCAGTTTGATTTTTTGTTTTCATCTATTTTCCGGCAAACTGACTCAGGCTTTTGGTCTTCATATCCCTTAGTTTCCAACCAGCCACCTCCCGAAGACCATGTGATAGGATTCACAAAATGCAATATAATTGCAGTATTAGCAATATTTGCCGCAGTAAAAAGTAGAAATTGAAGTTCATGTCGTGCAATTTTGTTGAAAACCAAGCTCGTAATTACAAATCTTACTCCATTATTGCGGTTGTGCAATATGTAATCACATGTTGCAGCAGTTGCGGAGGCAACCTCTGTCCAATAGTAATTGCACAAATGAAATATTTTATAGTTACACTGGACTATAAAGCACTTTTATTAATTGTCATAAAAAAAGAAAGCAAGGAACAAGATCCATCAGCTTCAAAAAGTAAAAGAAGTGTTCTTGGAGGAATAGTATTAAGTGTAGAATTTTGTGTATTTTGCACTACTATTAGAGTAAGTATTATAGCAGCATGAGTTGCGAAGCCAGGTATTAATGAGGCCAGTGTTGCATAATACATCACCTATAATTATTAAAACGGGCACAGGTTATAATTTGGGCAATGATTTCTGCAATACATATTCTGTGATTGAGCAGTCATTTCAGTGGCTCATTACTCCATTAACACATCATATATATTGATTGAGCTATTCGTATGGATTTCAGCATGTCCTGGACTAGCAGCTGGAGAAACATGTATAAACTGTTCTGCTAACAGCAAAGGAAATATTGGAAAGTACGAAACAATTACTCAAGATTTAACATAAATAATTCGGGGATGCATGTGTGTTCTTCAATGATCTTTGATCCCCCCCCCCCCACCTCTTCTTTGATTTTCTTCCCCATGCCTTTGCTATATCGGCCATAATTCCCCCTTTTTTACTCATCTTACTCTTTCTCTATAATCTTTCTCTACCAGTTAAAAATAGGGAACCACTTCATGTATACCAATTATTAGGGCCCGGCATTTCTGAGATGTTTTGGGTAGGGGTTGGGACAGACTTTGATGGAGTACCATCCAATTAAGTACCCAGCTTTAGGCATAAACAAAGTACCTGCTTAAAAATATTTCGCTGCATCCTGTACCAATCCCAATCATAATTTAGATATCTGACTGTATACCTGGTAATATATTCGTGGAAGTCTAGCCTACATCATAAATGACTTCCTCTATTCTCTTTGCTGCACCTCAAAGGTTACTGCTGGTCTAAAACCGTTCGACTGAACAGCGAAATGTCTCAATCTTTTCCAGGTCCGACTGAATGAACCTTCCTTACCAACATAGAGTATATCGTAGATTCAGCCCTTGTTATGGACAAGCTTGTGGATTATATTACAATTCCTGCAGCCAAAGATTATCTTCTTAAGAAAATTGGATTTTGCGAAGAGATTAAAAAGGTACTAACTTGCTAGACAGATTAATAGCAACCTTTGGATCAACGAGGGAATTTAGCAACCAGGGATTTTAAAGTTCTCACTAGGTTGATCGCAGACTTTACTTGCAAGCCACCAATCATGATATCCAGGCAAAAGATTCTTCAGGTTTGTGAAAATATGGTAAAATACTTTCTAATAGATATGGATACAGTCATACAGCACTGTAGATAAGTCTCATTTTACTGTAATCAAATTCATGTTTCATTTATTTATAATTATTGTAAATTTTCGCTTCTGCTTTCTTGCAGTTAAGCAAATCTTAACTCATGTCTAAGTTGACAAGCTACTGTTCCTCTGCCTCTCATTCAGAAAAGCCTTGGAGTGCTTTAAAGCAGGTATAAAATGCATTTACGTTTAACATTTTGCACATAATTGAAGAAATTCATTTCTACTAAAACTGTCTGTACCAGTGTGGGTAGTACTAATGTGAAAAGCTGTCCTGAGTGGTTATATTTATTTACTACCTAAAAAAATAAGCAGAAACTCGACGTTTCGAGCGAAGGCCCTTCGTCAAGAGTTAGTAGCTCTTAACGAAGGGCCTTCGCTCGAAACGTTGAGTTTCTGCTTATTTTTTAAGGTAGTAATATAACCACTCAGCACAGCAAATTCATTTCTAGTCTTGGAAAACACTGACTGAACTAAAAGTTTTTCAACATGTGCGATATTTAACCTTTATCGATACACAAAATCTTTGTACTAACAATTAAAATCGTTGGTTTGCCAAAGCAAAATTATATATAACATGTAGCATTAGAGAGCTGCTAATATGTACTGTATAAACATCGGAATTGGGTTGTTTTGCTGCTTGCTAGGTTAATTGATTTGGGATTCTTTCAAAGTAAAGCGAAGAGAACATACAGTGTGAGATTACAGTATTAAAATAAGCTCGCTAATTCACTTGACAATGACTCAATGCAATAGTTGCTGTGAACAAATAATGATAATACTGTACATAGTGCATTTCAGTCACTCTGTTGTGGAAGGAAAAGACTGTTCAACTGTTATAAACTGCATAGTTAAGCCTAATATAAGCCTAATAGAATTACCACCTAAGAGTAATCTACTACAACTATAAGTTATAAAAATATACTGTATGTACTGTATTCACAAATTTTGTAGTACATGATTATGTACTAAATGATGTTACTTTTTACATAGATAAGGAATTCTACTTCTGTGGGTGTGGATGAAAGGTGAAGAAGGTACTTCACCTTTTCACTTCTCCACTTCGGACATTCGATGACATGAAATGGATGCAAAAAATGTGCTCATTGTTTGACATGTTATTTGGTCCTGATAAATATCAGTTCAAAACCTCCAACAAGTGCCTTGTAATTCCCAAACATCACCAGCCTAGCTTCACCTATGATCACAGCATTTGGGAGCAACAGTTTGAACTGCCTGAAATAAAGTCTGAGTCTAACTCAAAGGCTAGATATTCACTGGAGAAAGTTTTTAAGGAGGTCAAATGCATCAATCCTGTGAATATTCCCAAAGTATGTGTATGGGTTCCCAAGTGGGGTGGCTGGCTGGCTATGCTTATCTGCAGGATGTTGTTATTAAGCTTATAAACACATGTCCTGTAGACAACTACCTGACCATGTATATTTGAAAGATCATCCACAAGTGCTACACCACTTATCAGAATTAGCTGTTGAGCATCAATATGGTGGATGTCTTGTAAAATGTGGTCCAATCATTTGATGACGCTGCTGCTGGTACCGGAAAGGTACATTGGCTGCAACAGTTTCCCAAATTTGACTTCTCAGTATCGTCAACTGTAGATATTTGGGGATGTGAGCAAGACATGTTTGTTCCTTGTTTGACGCCAGTCACTACAAATACCCTAACAACAACATGTACCTTGCAGGACTGTCCCCGAAAAATACAGGAATACAACCGAAGCAGCATTCAAATTCTGGATGGCGATGTGGAAAAAATGCAAAACATATCTAGAGTCATTGTTTTACCACTGGTTGTGTCCTTCACCCAAACCATGCTATATAGAATTCCAGCAGCAGCCCCCACCGACAGTACCAACAAAACTCGGCCATTCTCATCTTGTGCTTTCTGATGGTTCCTGGACTCAACATCTGTGTTGTGGAGGTACTGGCTTGTCAGAAACTCGACACTTTGCCAATGGGCTACCCTGGGTTCTACCAATTTTCCTCGGAGATTTAGCACAGACTGACAAGCTTAATGGGCCAGAAGAAATTCCAGTCAGCCTTCAAATTTCGGATGCAACATACCATCTGGGTGGAATCACATTCTGGAATAGAGTCCATTATTGTGGGAGACTCCAGTATCATGGCAGGTGGTATAATTATGATGGCTTACATAACATTCCTCTCAAGGAAATAATTGATGTTTCAGCTCCTTCACAGGTAGGCTTTAGAATTTCCTCCTGTGTGTATTTTAAAGAATAAACCAATGGTAAAAGATGCAATTAGCATGCAAATCAGAATTATTAATATCATGAAATTGATCATTGAATATTCTACACAGTATTATTTCCACTTCAGAATAATCAGTGTTCTGATCATGCATGCATTCAAATATTTAGTAAGTTGCTGTTATAAGATTAATGAGAATTCTTTAAGTGGATGCTCTTGTGTCAGAAAGATGTAGTCATCTTTTGCTGACAGGTTAAGAAGATGCAGTCATCTTTGCTTAATCAGTTGAAGCTGAAAGTCTGACCATAGATTATCATACAGCAACTTACATTTAATTAAAACCATAACAGGTATACACTTACTATTTAAAATATGTTATAAAGAGAGACAATAAATACGTACAGTTATTATGCCAGTCTGTGTAATATATCATAGCATATATGGCATGAGTATGCCATGACCCATGTATTGTATTCTTGGAGCCATTAACTATAATTAGTAAAGTAAATTGCTGTTGTAAGATTAATGAGAATTGGATGCTCTTGTGTCTGAAAGATGTAGTCATCTTTTGCTGACAGCTGGTTAAGAAGATGCAGTCATCTTTGCTTAATCAGTTGAAGCTGAAAGTCTGATCACACTGTAGATGATTATACAGCAACTTCAATGAATAAATCTAAATCAACAGCCATAAAACTATTTATAAAATCGATTATCTTGGTCAATTTCGGTGCGCTGATTTCAAAAATCGACGTTACACAGCAAAATACCGAGGCCTTCAGCCTCGTTTTGGTGCGTACAGCCTCGTTTTGGTGCCTACATATGTGCCTTAGATAGCCAAGGAAGTTGGTGATTTTGCTCAAGTTGTTATTTTAGCCGAAGTACTTTCAGAAGACAGTAGGTTCAACTTGTCATGTGCATATATATATTTTTGGCAAGAAAAATTTCGAGTAAAACCGCATTAAAACTAAGTAGAATACTCTACAATGAATACTATATCTGTTTCTATAAACTTTGTCTCGAAACGAGCTCTCATTTCAGAGATAATGTGGTTTAAAATTAGTGTATTGAATTATGCTGTTACTACCCTGGATCAGGGGGTTTCCTGTTTTGCTGAAGCTGTAGCCTGCACTCAGGCGGTGCTGGCCAAATTGGAAACCCCCTGGGCGCGATGTGTTGATCGATTGATTTCCCCCGAACCAATCAGATGCCTAGGGTCAGATTTTGACCCTAGACATCTGATTGGTTTATCGGGCCTTATCGGCAAACATCAGATAGATAGATAGTTTATTATGATTTTACATAGCAGCCTACAAAAGCTGAATTGTGTAAAATTTACAAAAATAATATGTACATCTCACATACATACATACAAACATACACATATCAATAAATATGTACTTGTAAAACGTTGGTAGCGAAGTTCAGATCCGACCTCCACCACCACCACTGCTACCGAAAAGGACTAGGAACTAATCAGAAACATTCAGACTACTAAATTAACTAATCACATGCATAACAAAACTCCTGTAGAAGACACTTGAATTTGGGCTGGTCCTTAAATTGTATTTTTGGAATCTATGATCAATAGGCTATCTGCCGATGCCTCACTCATGCCTAACTAGACTTGTCCGTGGAAGTAACGGCCGGTTTTTCCAGCTGTGTAATCGAAAAAAATGTGAAATTTAATATTATGCGCTTTCGAATCTTATGTTCTATTGAATTCCAATAGTGGGGTTGGTATGAGGACAATTGTGCATTTTATGATACCAGTATGAAATTTGGCAGTATTATAAAGTTTCAGGTGCTTGAAAAGATAGGGTCGGGACCCCAACACCAAATCTCTTCTAAAGTATATTTTTGGACGTGCAAATTTGGTCCCAGTCCTCCGGAGATGTTACAGCAATTTATCAATACAACAGCATTGCATTAATTTTAAAATGATAAAATTTTACCATTTCCAATCAACCATGCTATGCTCATGTGATTCCCAAAGTTTCACAAACCTCAGTGTCATAAACCCCCAAATTTAAAACGTTTGCATACATACTTGGTCCCAGTCTTCCAATGCACTTCTTATCTAGTCTAAATCCACGTCAGTACTCAGTTTAGAATTGAATGGTTAGCTCGCTTGAGACAATAAAAAATTCCAATAACAATCACAAGGAGTTCAGTCATCAAATCCCTGGGAACACTGTCCCTTACAATTGCAAAGCTCTGTACATTCTAATCTGAATGTCTTGCACTTGCATCTTGTAGAGCATTTCTGTTTGCAGCCGCATTTAATTAGCTCTTGACAAGCATTGGAAGCATCTGGTACTGTAATCCAATTAGGAGATACTTTTCCATCTTCTTTTACCCAACCTCATTCGGTAACCCGAGGTAAATCCTGCCACCTGGCTAGTGATTGTCCCCAAACAAATCTAAATATAAAAGGCAAATTGACAAGGTTGAATTAAAAGCTAGAAAGAAAAATGAATGGACGAAAAAAAATGCACCGTCTATGTTGTTTATGTTGAGCTGATCAATTTACATGCCTTGATGTTTGTATATCCTGAACTGCGCATCACGCAAACCATACTTACCCCCCCTGAAATATAGCCCTTTTGATATGCTGATGTAGCGCATCCTTCGTAGGTGGAAGGTTTTCGCTTGGACATGTTTTCTTGGTAAACAAATGTCGTCTAGCTTCATTGACATTAGACAGACTAGTGGTTTTATCATATAACAAAACGACATAACGCTCAACAGCATTGAGAAGGTCTTCGCTCGGGTCATCTTGATTGCAAAGTGATAACCTAACAGAATTTAAAAGTGAGGGAATATTAACCTTTCCTGCTTTGCCTAATTGTAAAACACAGAAAATGTATTTAAAACTTTAAAGCCTTCAAAGTTCTACCTTGTAAACGTTTCCGTGATTTGAGGAAACGATTTCCAGGTATTCCAGCATGACTTCTTCCCTTTACCACAAAAGGCGGAAACGGTATCACATCCTGTGAGAGCAAACCAAAAGCGCAAACCACCACATAAATTTCTTCCCAGACTAGTTGCATATTCATGAACTGGCAACCAACGCTTGTTTCTTCCAACACCAAATTCGACCCATAGCTCATCAATATTCAGTTGATGGAAAAATGAAATTGCTATGACTATAACATCAGTGTCCACTGTTCGTATGGCAATTTTACGATGACCACAATCTACAGCATTCTTTACATGAAGAAGTATACGCGTGTCTGCTTCTTCATGGTTGCATGGAGCTAAATTATGATGATCAATATCCCCAAAAGTTACAACTTCTTCAGTATCTGTCGCCACGACAACGCCGTCAAAATCTTGAATATTTGGCGAGTTGACAAGATCTTGTGCAAGCAAATGGAACAGTTCGGACTTGTTTTCGTCAACCTGAAGAAATTGCTGCCAGTTTTTCCATACCGGCGTATCTACTTTCACAGAGATTCTTATGCCTTTGCCTCTTCTTTCTCTGGTTTCTGCTTTCAAGCTCTCTTCAGTGTACACGTCAAAAACAACATCAATTCTTGTAATAGTACTTTCAGAATTTAAGATGAATGGCCAAAATATGTTTTTGCTGTACTCTCCATACGTCTTAGCAGCTGAAGATCTGATCATTTGTACAACAGCAGCCCCATCAAACACTTTTGCTGTCAAGTCTGCAGGTGGAGTTTCTCTCGTCTCTCCTGCAAGTTCAAGGATGCTAACAAAGTCAGATTTTGTACATTTTCGCAACTTTCCGTACTGAGAAATTGATGAAGGATAAGAATGGTTTTCATGGGCAAAGAAGTCAGCAAGATCACCATTTCTTGATTGACAGGCAACATAAAGAGATGCATATAGTTTGCAGGCATCTTGAAGTGAAGCTACTTTAAGTTTACCTTTAGATGCTGATACAGTGTTCTTTATACGAAAGAGGGGTAGGCTGTTCATGGAAATGGTAAGATAGATCGATTTTTCACATGTAACAAGTCTCTCACGGACATAGTCTTTGTACTGTTCAATTCCGATGTTCCTCGCATTTTTCACAGATTCAACAGAATCATTGTTCATGATGGTTCTGCTTACTATCTGTACTAACGAGTCCTCTTCATTAGTGAACGGGTTTCCAACCTCGGCAACAGACTCTTTGAAGTTCTGCACATCTTTACGAAATTTCTTTTCAAAAGCATCCGTGTCTTCATGGTGTCTTTTCTCTGCTTCGCTTTCTTCTTATTTTCTGTTGAAATCTTTCACTAAGCGCGGAATTTCCGGGACACCAATCATCCATTTCATCAAGGAGCTCTCATTGTCGAGGATACCAACCGCCCCTCCATCAGTCTTCACATCCTTATTATTCTGCTCGTGCGCTTGATCCTCTGCCATACTGGAAAATGGTCTGTCCGTTTTCTTGTACGTAAAATGACCTTTCTGGAATTCATTGTAAATATTTGGATGCTTTATTTCAAGCATTTTCATATCTTGAATAAAAATTGGCAACCATCTGGAATAATGCGTGTGATCTAGGGCAAACATCCAAGGAGCGATTTCATCAAGGGCATTCATAAACAATTGGAAATTTGACTCCCTAAGGCTTCGCACAAACATTAGCAGCAACGCCTCCAGCTCAATAATGGTTAACCAGTAGTGGAATTGAACAAATGAGCGACGCCTGTCTTCTACCCATTGATGAAAAGACATATCTTGGTCTGCAGATTCAACGTATGCATCTGATAAGAGAATGTACAAAGCAGCACACGATACTTGGTGGACATATCGGGATCTTTTAACTTGATTTCCTCGAAGCATGCTCTCAGCTCTTCCTGGGGTGTTGATGGAAGATTTAGTAAGCAGTTCAACCCAACCACTTCCTTCAAGCCAGTCACCAATTGCAGAGAGAAAGTTCATTTCAATATGTAGTGAGCCCATCATCATAACCAATTTGTCCTCACCGTAATTGTCGGGATAATGCCACTGAACCTGTTTGCCAATCGCATAAACTGGCTGATCGCCAGTTAAAACAGATACTTGTCCAGGGTTAACTTCTTGAAGGACGAGATTAACAATATTCATTGTATGGCGTACCACAGCTGTTGATGCCACGGACTCTCTTAGTAAGGGCAAAAGAGTAGACGTTGACTTTTGCTGAACTGCAGATGGCTGTTCTCGTCTCGCGTGAAATGCTGACCACGATATCCGTTCGTTTACATCGGGAGTCTCCATCCCTCCGGCGTTATTGAAACTGCTAATATTTCCAAGCCACTCATCTGCTGTAAATAATTTTGACTGATCGTTACTAGTTACATCTTGTGCACAAACCTGTTGGAGTGGATATTGCGAGGGAAGTGTTTTTGCAGGAAAAATTGTTGTGTAACTTTCTGGCAATTCTATTGGAACATTAATCTTCTCGATTCCTTTATCAAAAAGGAGGCCTAGGTCAGGATGTTTCTCCTCTGGATGCTGAAATATGGATATACTGGTACCGTGGAAGGCTTCTGTGGCTGTCGCTGATGAAGGATTGTGGTCTATGTTATCTATGGCAGCGGTTGTGAATATGCCATTTTTAAGCGTAGGTGGACAAACAACTCCCTTTTCCTGAAACACTTTGCAAAGCTGTTTTGTCACAGAAAGCTCGATATCTTGTACTCTGTCATAAGAAACACTCATTCCATAACCTGCAAGAGCGGACACAATGCCCTTTTTCCGCGTTTTTGAGTGTAACATTAAGCCAGTATATAGCGGAAAAGACGTTTCATATTTTCTAAGATGCCTTGTGTTGTCTGGTGTGGAATTGTTACATTTCCTTGGCTTTTTGACTGCATTAAAACGAATAAGTTGAGAAATGGCCACAGCAGCTTTGCTCTTCTTATGTTCTTCGTCCTCTAGGCCTATGTCTGAATGTCCCAGAATCATGCTGATTAAACAGAATAACGAAGAAGGAACAGCAGAGTTTTCACCAAAGTTTTCTAGAATACCGACTGGCTGTGGGGATTCAGCAAAAAGCTGTTTTCTGACAATACGGGCAGCCTTTGCTAAGCAAGCTCCATCACTCTGACCACTTAATGTACAAGCATTGAATATTGCGGCTCCAACATCATTTTCAGCAGTCAGTAAAACATCCCTGCCATGTCTTGCCTCGGAAAGATCAGGAAGCTCCTTAAGAATGTCTTCTTTAAGTCTAGTGCTGTGAATCCTTTCGATACTTTCTTGTGAAGCATTGTATTCAGCTAATCTATTAGATACCAACGTCTTTATTTCCCTGAGCTTAAAAACAGGCGTGATATCTTCCGATGATGTAATGCATTCCCTTATGTACTCTACAACTTCAGTAACAACTATACCGTAAAGAATGTCGTTTTCAAAATCTGCTGGTAGCAGCAAACATGTCACACAAAGCCTGTTATAGAGAGCTATCAAACAACTTTTATGGTATCGTGCTTCGATTGCCACAAGATCTCCTTCACTTAATTTAGCGAGAAGCTTTTCATCTGATAGCCTTGTTGCTGCATCTCTCACTCTTGTATCTAAGCCAAGAGTCTGTGCATTACACAGATTTCCAGCAGTGTCGGGTTCGTCACAGAAAAAGCAAGTAGGGATAAAATTTTGGGCGACAAATTTTGAACGTGTACTTGGAGTTAGCAAACTTTCCTCAGAACATTCTTCTGTCCTCTGTCTTTTGCATGCACGCTCAAAGTGATAGTTGTCATAACTATTTCGACATGATTTGTGGAATTTAGCCTTATTTTGAATCAAATCTTGAAGTACGTTTTCTCTGTCAATTCTTACCTTCAACCAAGCAGATAGTTTTCCAATAGCCTTGAAATTCTTCAAATTATCAATTACAGTCGAGTAGCCGCGAGTTCCATCATCTGATGTGCTGCTGCCTGGACATATTAATGGACTTGTTGATGATTCCTCTTGGCATATAAAGCACAAATCCCAATTGATTACTTGGTCAACGTTAACTTGGAAATTATGGAAATTTTCCGATGCATTTACCAGTGAGAATCGCTTCTTAGACATTACCAAAAACAATTGACGACTTGCAATCTACATTGTATAAAGCTCAGATATTATTTAAAGCTATTTTACAGCTGTTTTGTGCGAGGTTTTGCATTGTTCATTATCATGTAATACTAGTATACTTTATGTTCTCATTATTTTTCTATTTCAAGAACGCCGTAATATAATACTACTAAATGGCTTCTTTTTAAATGGCTTCTGCATGTTGTTCTAAATTTTAATTAAACGGCGTCTAAATTACACGGCTTCTAAATTAAATGGCTTCTGTCAAATGCACATATAGTCTTGGATAGTCATACTTATGAGTGGAAATTTAATGCTAGAATATTACCGGGTGTCCCAAGCTATACCCTGTTTGATTTCACGTGCATGCATGAAAACTATGAATGCTGTTGCACTGAAATAATAGTTTATTTTATTCAGAAAAGGTCAACTAAGAAATGTAACATTTCCGTGCAATATTGACTGTGCATTGTGCTATTGAATATTGATGTTTTGAAGTTGTCAGTTGAACTACCATTTTAGAAAATACAAACTGAAATTGGCATAAAACGGTCTATAAGATACAAGCTCAATACAAATACTTAAGTTTAGTTGTGAAATATTGCTTGGGGGTTAAAATAGAATTGTATAAAATGATAAAAAACAATCTTATTGTACATAATCATAGATCAGTGTTATTTTATAACATGAGAATAATAACATTTCTCAGCTAAACTAAACGGGAATTTTTTAGGCAGTTTTTTGCTTATTTTTTTTATTTCAAATCAAAGGCCTTTGAGGCCAACTCGTGGATAAGATAAAATTAAAGTCAACGAATAAAATATTTAGATTTTAGAACAGTTTGCAGTTTCTTACAAACGGGTACCGTGCGGATTTTTGCCAGCATTACTCATCCAGGCCAGAGGACATCATCAGATGTTAAATCTTTACATAATGAACCCTTCATAAATCTACAGGAGATCTTGTAAGGGAAAGGAGAGTCCCAAGACCAAGTAATTTGAGAACAATGAGAGGTAAAAACTAAAATAAAGCCGATATCTTAAATCAAAAGGCACCAGAATGAACATGTCATGTGTGTATGCTTGCATATTGAACAAAATATTGTGATTATTTCGGCTTAAATGCATGTAGATCAGTATATTTAACAGTAGATCTATTTGGTCAACTAGCAAAACAGATAACAATTAATTATATAAGCGAAATATAAAAAAAAAAAAACACTAACCTTTGAGCATCACCAGTGTCAAAGTAAAAAAATTGAAAAGAACGAACGCATGGTCCAACCCGTTTTCCGGTTCTGAAAGGCCCGATTCGCAGGCAAACAGGTCAAGCCGAGTATTTTTAGGTCTGATAAAACACTCACTGAGAATGGTTTAATTTGCTTCAAAAACAATCGATCTAGTAGGTTCATTGACGAAGTAACTTTAAAAAAATACTTTGTGTAAGTCGAGAAAATCAAAGTTAAAGTTGATGTAAATCAAGGGAAATCTCTACCACATAAAAGATATGACACGCTTGTGATTTTTCTTTGTGTTTTCCTCATGAATTATTAATACGTTTTTGAAGGGCAAATAACACCCTTAACAGTTTGTAAGTTTATTCCTAGATGAAAACAAGTCAAAAAAGTATTATGTATGCATTGAAAATTAAATCTGCTATAATTCATTGCTGTGGCATGGATAAAGTATGGATAAAGGACTGGGACCAAGTTCATAAGTACGAAACTAGCCTTAAAAGCCCCTTTGGCGTTGGGGTCCCAACCCTATGTTTTTAAGCACCTCAAACTCTATAAGATAAGACAAGTTTCGAGTTGGTATCAAAAAACGCACAATTGAGGCTGTTCATGACCTTAACCGTCCTCACTACAAGGCCACTTGTAGCAAAAACTATAATTTGGCAATAAACGCTTGCTGTATTCTATTTATACTGTTCGACAAGTGAGTGCATTTCATTAACAAAAAGCGATTGTTCGTGGAAACGTTTATGAGGAGAATTTGTTGGTTGTCGTCTCAGATGACGTTCATGTTATTCCTAAACAGTTAGATCAAATAGCGTCATTGCAGACATATTAATATTACGCTATGATTATGACAGATGATGCGATGATTCTGTATATATGTCGAGTATTTGAGCGGAATTTTGTTGTGTGTATGTGGTCGTGTTGTGCTGTACAGCCTGTACTGTATGTAGTTTGTTTTAAAATTGTGTAGCCCGAAATGTGGAATTCATGAATATTTATGAACAAAAATTCAGTCGTGGCAAGGCATTTGGGCTAAATATATTATATACTGTATTTTATATGTAAATATACACAATGTAAAGTCCTAAACAGATACAGAACGTTCTGTATCATCAAACCTGAAAGTAATAATTCAATAACTGTCATTACATGCAAGTATTAAAATATGTACTCGATTGCTGCTTGTATTTTGAATTTGTCACTTGAAACTGCTTAGAATAGAGAGATTTGCCGATTGTCAATTTGTCATCAGTATAAATTTGGAGACACATTGTGCCCAAAATAGACAGCCGATGCGCCAGTTCATTGGAAATCTTCCCAGAGAAAATATTACATTTTCCTCTTCCGAATACAACAATTAATGTAACATTGGCAAACACAACAAAATTGGTCAGGGGAATATGTTTTTGTTGAATACTTTTGAATACGTACTGGACTACACCCTTCAGACCGGAAGTGTGAAACATTAATAAATTACGTCATGGAAATGAAATTCGACAGGTCGCGCCCAGAGGTTTTCTCCGCCTCGTACGTCGCCACCAGAAAACCTCTGAACCCAGGGTAAGCTGTTACTTGGCGTGTGTGAATTCTGAACCTTCATGACAGGGATTTGAAAAGCTTCTAAAATACACTTTATTGCTTCATATATCCCCATAAAATTTTTAAATCAATAAAGCACATCATAAAATTAATGTACGCTCATTTTCTAAGAAGTACTCATCGATTAGCTGAAGGAAAAGTTTAAAATAGGTCAGGACAGTAGTTTACAAAATGCCGTTCCCCTCTGAAATGGCTTCTTTTGCAGGAAACCATTAAATTTATGTACTTTCCAAAATTGTAATTTAGTTGCTTTTTTGGTCTCATTGTTCACTTATTTATCATGGAATTACTTTGTTTGAGCTCTTTTAATAATATCTGCAAGATACTTTGCTATTTGGTGAAATAAAAGCTATATTTTTAGCAGTTTATCTTTTGAAAACTCCATGCGCAACAAAGTGTCACCAATGTGTTTACTCTCGTCTGACAAACAACCAAAGATGAAATACTTTGTTTCACTCTTTTATAGCAATCTAAAATGCCTAAATATTAGATTATTCATTTTATTTGAGCATACATATTATATTTTTATACAATTGGTCCTTGAAAAGGGCTTATTTCAAGCTAGAGTCAGATTTCAAACTAAAGTCAGATTTCAAAAGAAACCACCTGTCTGACATTTTACAGCAACCTACATTGGCACGCACAACGTTTTAGCTACAAATCTGTTGTTTTCTCAACAGAAACAAAAGGAATTTCAGTTAAAATTCTTACCTGACGAATATTCAAAAGTGTTTATCTCTTTTCGACGACTTTCGGTCCTCTTAATAGCGAAATAAAAAGCCTTTTGTTTTGTCACCGCACGCTGCGTTTGGAATTGCCTGCTGTCAAAGTCAGAATTGGAAACACCTCAAATATTTTTAAATTTTCTCACCTTTTTCATCCTTTGTTTATATTTTAATTAGTAATTTTTGTACTTCGTGTTTTTCCAAACATATTTGAGGTATTTAAAAACTTCAAAGAGGTACAAACACTGTGTTTTTGGGTTACAGAGTTTTTGGACTTGAACAACAACTTCTGAAGTTCAAGTTCTCCATTGTAAACTAGATGTTCTGAGTGTGCCTGAGCTATGCCCAAGCAAATTTTTATAGCGTTTCATTATTTTGTAATTTATACCCTACAAGATGAAAACTAATGAATATAAATGTTTACCAATCCAGGAATCAAAAAATATTTCTCCATTTATGTTGGGTTATTGAATTATTGCCCTTCAGATGTTGGGTGTCATGAAGAAACAAAATGTCAGAGACTTAAATTTACACAAACCAAGAATTCTGACCCAAAAATCTAATGATATCTTTAAGTGTGGGAGCTCATTTAAAATAGAATTGATTAATCATTTATCATTTTAACCCACTGCCAAATTTCAAGGTTTTTTATAACATTGATCTTGAGATATGGGTATTTTTGTAAAGGCAGTTGACAGAAGTTGACAGTAACTAAAATTTGCCATTTTCCTTGCAACTTGGGGAGTGCAAATGTTTGCAACAGTCTGCAACTTAATGAGTTAATGAATTTGCCATTTTTGCAAGGGAAATATCAGAGTCTTCAGTCTTGTTCAAAAACTGAGCCCGTGATCTTTGTCCTCTTGTCCTTTGCAATTGTGCACGTAGTCATTGTACTGAGATAGACAAAGGAAAAAGTCAGTTGGTTCCTTTAAAATTTTCTAGTACGAGATGAAATAAACTATCAAAAGTTTATTTGATCAAAATGGCATCATCTCGTGGCTATGTTGTGCAAGAAAACTTTGAAGGAACCATTATTCATTAATTATTAATTTTGTTGCACTATTCATTATAATTGTATCAGAACTTACTAATGTTGTGTTTTCTTTATTACGAGAGAAATGTCACTGTATATTTTTAAAAGAATATGAGTCGGTCTATATGCCTGAATTGCTGAAATATCAATCAACTGGAATCAATCGTTTCTGTGAGTTAGAACATAAATCATAATACTATTTATATTATAGTATTCTACTGAATATAGTATATAATAAATAACATTATAGTAGCTCGGATTTTAGGACAAAAAAAGCGCAGTTGGAATTTAAAACTTTTTGTTGTCTTGTACAAGTCGGCCCAGTAGATGATTTCGACCTCTCTCATCGATCGCCCTTCGCCTTCAGAGACCACAAGGGCGATGCGGGATGTCAGCGGCTGTTCGATTTGCTCTGGGTAGGCGAGGCTTGTAGCATTGGCTTTTGCCCTTGTAATTTTCTCCTTCATTGAAAATGTTGAGCCAGAGTAACTTGTCATATCTTCCACCTGCTCGTAGTGACAAAAAGCCACTTTTGGACTCAGCTTAACTTTTTGTTGCACTTCTAGTACGTTTTTTAGAGCTGTCAATGAATGCACACGATAATTAACCCTTATTGCTCGGACACAATATGGAACAGCACGGTGACAAGTGTATGAAATACTGTGCGGAGACACAACTTCATCTGTTAGTTCCAATAGGCTAGCAAGAAAATGTAGAACATATTTCTCTGGAACACATGGATCCTCAATTTTCGTCGATCGTCCTCGAAAATAGTTAACATCATGTTAATATATAGGGTTACTTTATAGGGTTAGCCAGTTGGGACATTATTTGTTCATCGTAATAGCCCATTTCTTACCTGGAAGCGCTGGCTGTAAGGCTTCGTTTACTCTTTCAACGAGAGTTGCAAGCCAATCATGGTAATGCTCAAGATCGTCATACAAAATATCAGGCTTTGCGACCCGAACAATTTCCTTGTCTTCTCCTATGAAATCAACTGCGGAAATGCGAAGCTGATGAGAAGCCATCATGTGTCGCCAAACTGCTTTTGAAGATTTCCATGATCTCGAACAACAGGGACATCTTACAGAACAGGAGAAGCGCTTTGAAGACATGTTTATCGGAAGTCGTTTTAACTCTGCGTGTGCACATGTTATCCGTGTTGCTATTTAAAGGCTCTTATTATTCCCTTTAAATCATATTACAGTATATAAAACAATTAAACCAAGCAAGTCTGGTCAGTGATTGTCAGTAGCTTACTTCCTGATCAACAGTACTATTCATTATGTTATGTTTTACTTTGATATTGGTGATTCTTCACTATCTGCATATAATAACTAAACTGGCTAAGGTACATAGATAAATAGGTTGATAGCTTAATATAAGAGTCCAATGCCAATGCGTAGCCAGGGCTGGAATTTTCAATAACTCCGCTGCCTTGCAAACTGTCAGGAAATAACATATTAACAGACACCTTGTATTTTGACAAGGGTTAGCCGATTGCTTATCATTTTTCAACTTAGCCCGCGACTATTTTCCGCCAACAAATCATATGCTATTGCTACAAATCAGTATGGCGAAAACGAAAGATAAAAGTTCTAGCAAGTTTGTTTGGCATGCAAACTTGTTAAAAGAGCAGTGCAAAATGAGAAAGAAAAGAAACGAAAGGGAAAAAACGGGAGTGGAGAGCAAAAAAAGATTAAACAAAGCGGGAAGTTCGTGTGGCCATGCAGGTTGCACAGGCTGAGGCATTGCTGTATAAGAAATTGGCCGCGAAGTATAAAGCACTCAGGAAAGGCACAGCAAAACGAAATGACGATAAGGTAAATGCACTACAGCTTACAATGAGTGATATTGTGTTTTCGGAGTCACTTATTCGCTTTTTTTCCCACATAGATTTTAGGACGTCAGGCAAACGTCGATGATGTCAAGAAAATTAAGCATGCTGATTTAATCGACATTGGAAAGGCGGAAAATACGTTGGAGTTTGCCGAAGGTGTATTTGGAAAGTGTCACCTTAAAATGTACCAGGGCCATCTTGTTGTTGCCAAAGAATTCTGAGACAGTTTCAAGATCTGAGGTCATAAAAGAAGCCTAAGACATTGATTGGTTTGTCCACCCATCCAGGATTACCCGTTGTTCTCGGAGTTGATATATCGACAAAGCCCCTTTCTTATGGTTTCGTTATTTTATGGTATGGATGTGAGCAACTCAACTTTGCACAGCCTATTGAGCGTTGACGAGCAATTTCGTTCGGTGAAGACAGAATTTCTAACAATTATCAGGCAATTGAGTGAAGTCCTCAAATATCTCCAAGTGCACCAACTTCTGCATAACGACATTAAATGTGATAATGTCATGATCTACAATGATTCGGAAGGCCTTAAACCCGTCTTGATTGATTTTGGCGAGGCCTTGCAGATTCGAGGAGGGAAAATCGAAAAAGTTGACCAACGAACAAAAGAAAAAATATTGTGAGAGACATTCCCATATTGCTCCTGAGATTGTCGAAGAAACAGCAGGACAGGCGGCTTCAAGTGACATTTTTGCACTTGGCAGGATAATTTTAGAAATTGGGACTTGCCTTAATTGCACTAAAATAGTCGACCTCAGCAAGTTATGCATTGATGAAAACCCAACGAAACAGTGCACTTTATCTTTTCTTATAGAAGAATGTGACATAGTTTACAGACAATTATAAACTAGTCAAATATTTGTAAATAAGTTTAAATTTGCATATAAATATATTATTCCTAATTAGTAATTGAGTAATTCAGCATTATCTGTGTCTGTTTATTAAAAGCTACTACGTATATAGCCATTTCCCATTGGCATGGCATTGTAGTGAATTATTTCACTTGCTCAATAGGGCCACTTATACGGGAGAGTATAAATTGCAACTTACATAAGACACGTCTTATATAAGACGCAAACATACTCCTATACATGGTCAAATTCACTTCAAATTTTAGTTAGTCGTGTTAGATAAGAACAAGGATTGAGACTGGTCCACGATTATTCGCGACTTACTAGAATTTGAGCATTTATACAAGTGTGTTCGCGTCTTATGTAAGAGTCGTGATGTATTTTCTCTCGTATAACTATAAATGGCCCTAATAAGTTCTCCGTTTGGTAATACAAGTACCCTCAAAAGCAAATACCAACCAACAGTTCGAAGTTTTACGGCAATTTGTGCATGAAAATTAAAGTGCGAAATAGCTACTTTAATTAATTGGTCTCAGCTAGACTTGGAAAATTTGTATAGATCTATAATCTAATCTCGAGATTACCTTCAAATGCGATTTGACCTTTGGCTTTGCGGTTAGTGTTCTGCCGTAAAAGTCAAAATGAGAGAATTTTTCATAAAAATTTTTTGAAAATGACAAAATATGTTAGAAAACCTCCACAAATGAGATATAAGTTAGTTATAAACCTCAAATGTCTGTTTATAACTGATATATTGCCCTCGGACGCTGCGCGTCCTCGGGGGCAACAACCCAGCTGGCACGGGAACGTCTCCAGAACGTTGTGCGAACGTTACACTTATGTTCTGCAAACGTTATAATTGAACGTTGTCACAACGTTTATTTGTCGACTCCGCTCGACGTCCTATACACGTCCAATTGAACGTTCGTGCAAACGTCCGTAGAACGTTCGCGGAACATTCTACGAAGAAACGCACGTACGTTCATAACGCACGTAATTAAAAATTTAAATTCCTTTTACTGATAGAATTCAAAGCTATAATGCACCATGGACTTCTGGCAACGTTTCTACAATGTTGGGGGAACGTTCCTCAACGTTGAGAAAACCTTCCCAGAACATTCATAACCAATGTTGAGAGAACGTTAAAACAACGTTCGTTAACTTTGATCTGGCCATTATATACACAGCTATTTCAATTAAGGTTGTCCCCGAACAAAGCGGAAAAGTTAAATACGAGCGCGAAAGACTTGCTGGAATCTCTAAGCAAGCCAATCCCAGCAAGCCTTTCGCGCTCGTATTCGACTTTCCCGCTCGTATTCGACTTTCCCGCTTTACTCGGGGACAACCTTAATGGAAATAGCTGTATATATATCGGAGAAGAAATTTCATATGCAAATTACCACTCAGACAAGAACTCAATACTTTTAAGTTAAAAACTATATTCAAGATTTATTGTGTAAGATATATATAAAAATGTTACAAAACTGTTGAAATATATACATTATTTAGTTCTCCATAAATGTAAACCAATGCATATAATTTATTCTGGAACAACTTCTCGATTCTAAAACAAAACGGAACAAGTCAGTATGCGGCATAAACATATATTATTATACATATATACAAGTATTGGAGGGGTATTTCATAAATATTTTTTCGTACACGATCTACACCAATTTTAGCATTTTACAGTGTCCAAAATCACATGATTTTACAAATTGGAGAAATCGTGAGCAATTTTCAATTAAGAAAGGGCAGGTTTCTGTGCGTCTTCCTATTCACGAGTTAATTCGTCCGGAGTTAGACAGACTAAAGGAGTAAATCACTCATGTGTAATTTACCGTTAAGAAAGGGCAAATCTCTGTGGGTCTCCCTTTGACAAGTAAACTTGTCGGGAGTTAGACAAGTAAGAAAAGTTGCTTTAAGTCAACAGTGCCCGGTAAAGAGCGGATTAGCAGTTGTTATAGTTACCTTGTACTTTGCACCTCCTGATCTGTGCGGTGCATGTTTCAGAACTTCGCCAATTTGTTCCTCGACATCGACTTCGCTTAAATTCTTGTGCGCTCTAATGCAGGACCCTGGTAAAATAAAGACTGTGATATAATACGGGGGAAAACAAGATAGCTGCCAGTGAAATCCTTATTCGTTAAGATACGGATACACGGGCATTTCTCAGGCGACGGCAATGCAATGAGAAAATGGTTGCATTACCGTCACGAAAGGTAAATTGCTCGTGTATGATCCTCTGCGACGACAATGCAGTTTCATGCAATCGTTGCCGAAAGTTCAAATCTTTTGATTTTGGGCAACGATCGCCAGCAATTAAGAGGCGTGGTCAAGGTTTATGATTGACACGTTTCTTGGCCAGCCAATGAAAAGCACTGTAAAAAATGTAGTCACTTGCTGCCATTTAGTCTTTTAGTTCTACGTTGCCCAAAATATTGCAGGGGTAACTACCTTGTGCGATAGCAATGCAATACCTTTTCAACCGTTGCATAACCATCGCAGCAAAAATATTGCTCATTTATCCGAAGCTTTACGAAGAACATGTATGCTTGCAAGAAAATTCATACTTTACATGGGCAAATTGGTATTAAACCTATTTTAACACAAATGTTAATTTAGTTAATTAACAGTTATATAATCTCTCGAAATACTTGTTGAGCTACTTACTTATTACTAATTTGCAAATGGCAAGGTCTCTGAAAGAACTTTTGCCTTTCCTTCCTTTCAAACTGTACACAGACCACAGCTTATTGGTTCCCAGTTTTGCCATGATTCTCCGTACACTTTCTGGAAGACTGTGGCCACATACCGCAGCCATGAAGTTCACCTGATAAACAAGGAAATAATTATAAGACTTTTTGTTTGTGGAAACACTACGTAAATTTATTACTGCAAAGCTTCGATCCGTAAGCCCGGATCTTCATCAGTGCTAATAATATGAATAACATATTATTAGTCCTGATGAAGATCCATGCTTACGGATCGAAACCTTTGCAGTAATAAATTTACGTGGTGTTTCCGCAAACAAAAATTATTAGCTATATGTTTTACCGCCATGCAAACCTACAAAAACTTAATAAGGAAATAATTCTAGCACAAATTGCGAGCTCCGTCAGGCGTACAGCTACGTTTCAAAACATTTTGTCTATCAAAAGTTCGTTCATCAAAAAGTTTTATAAAGGTTGTGGTTCAGGTTTCAAAGAGACAGACACAGTTTCAGAATTAAAACTATTTTAGTGAATTTTTGCGGCTGATAGAGTAAACAAGTAAAACAACTCGCAAATGCTTGTTTTTGTACAACAAAATTAAGTACATGCATATAATTACCATTTTTCTTCTGTACTGATCATCCTCAAGACGAGTATTCAACTCTTTCAAAGCCTCCGCGGTATCGAGAGGTTGCGGCAACACATCTTCGAGGATGTCATTTCCGTCGACTTTTGTTGCACCTAGCAACATTCGCAGCATAGAAAGCCCATCCTCTTGCTTTTGGATTATCGTTTCTAACTTCGTAAGTACAGTCCTTTGAAAGTCTATGAATTGCATTGGAAGATAAATTAGTAACAAGGTAAACCTCCACACAATGGACCTTTAACCTTATAACTAAAATTTTGATCTAGACAACAATTTCATCACAGCTTGAAAGAGCATCACAAAATTAGTAATATTCCAAAGTTTCGTTACGAAATGTTGTAAAATGCGTATAATATAGCCCTGCGAAATTTGCAATTTTCAGTAATTTTGTAGTACAAACGGGAAATTGATACCCCAATCGGGCGTTGGGGTATCAATTTCCCGTTTGTAATACAAAATTACTGAAAAACAGCAAACGTCGCTGGGCTATATTATCCGCATTTTACAACATTTCGTAACGAAACTTTGGAATATTACTAATTTTGTGATGCTCTTTCAAGATGTGATGAAATTTTTGTCTAGATCAAAATTTTAGTTATAAGGTTAAAGGTCCACTGCACATGCACTATATTCAGGAGATTCTTTACTATTTACTATAAAATTTACAAACTCACGAATTCCCAACAAGAACATTCTATCTATATGTGATGTAGTTTTGATAAATATTGCATGGCAATATTTTCGAAAAAAAAAAATGGCAATATTTCAATAGACCTATCCCATATGATCAACTAGAGGGTCGTTTAGAGAGAAACTATTCCATTAGACCATTACATACACTATATTTTCAAGTTACTTACTCTCTTGTTGCTCTTGTCTTATTGGTAAAGACGTTCTTCCTGGTAGTGTAGTTATTGGAGTGTTTGGAACTCTTTGGCTTGCTGGAAAAACACCAAAAAAGTATAAATGCACAATTCGCCAGTTTTACCTATCGCCAGGTATGAATTTCATATGCATTTGGGTTAAGACTATTCACACAAACCTTTATTTCTTAGGCATGCGAGTCACCAAGGAGAGGTTGTTTGCATTAAACATTATGAACGCAAGAATAACCCACCAATAGTCCTGTACAATTAATGATATATCAACTACATACCTGACGATTCATTTCCTTGCACTGGTACATTCATTCCAGATTCGATTTGCAACAATTCTTGTATGTCTACATTAAACAAAAATCGTTCATTGACTCACGGTTGTTGCAAAGCAACATCCGCGGGTCTTTGTGGTTACTTTAGTGTGGGGCAGTTAAACAATGGGAAATGACCAGCCTGCTTTGCGTGCACTGTTTGCCTGCAAACCTATCGGGCCTTTCAGAACCGAAAATCCGGCTGGATCACACGTTCGTTCTTTTGATTTGGCAAAAAAGCACGACAAATGGCAAAATTCGCACGGTTCCCATTTGCAAAAACAACTGCAAACTGCTCTAATTCTTTCCGTCACTTTCATTTTATCTCATTCGTGAGTCGGCCTCAACGGCCTTTCATTTTTAGTACAAATCAATTATCATTTCTCTATGAACTTGCATCATCTAATTAATGTTTTCTACTTACCATTAAAATCTGGCAAGAAGGCAGTCTGTAGGGCATTCAGGTAACCAGGATTGGATTCAACAGACTCTGGCAACATATTTTCTGATGAACATGAAGTATTTTCCTGCGCACCAGATAGAGGTCTATAACTTGGGTTCCTGGGATTTCCAGACAGGTGAGATCCAGAAGATGAACCCATTGAAGAAATTATGGATACTGCTACTTGAAAAAGTATTTCACTCAATTTCTCACCACTTACATCACTCAACTTTTCAATCCACATGCTTGGAACTGCCTCAACAGATTCCTCACCCAAAAACTCGACAACTGAAAATGTACTCATCTAAAAAGAAAAGTGGAACCGTTTATTAATATAACAACATCACGACAAAAGGTGTCACTGATCCCATTACGTACATTGTGTTTGTAACGGACCTGCAAATATACCTTATTTGAGGAGGAACGTCTGTTACACCAAATGCAACATAGCCATGAAAATAATTTTAGCTGGACCATACTCAATCTTTATAGCCTGTGTTTCCAACAACCGAAATGGGAGAAGCTTCATCGTTGTATTCCTTTGATTTGCGTGGTGGACACCAATTATACGCGAATCGCACGGGCTCTCAAAAAGGGGGATTGTGTTGGAATATATTCTGCAGAGATAGATTTTCCCTCCATCTTCATCAATCTCACTTGAACACTCAACCACCTCACAACAGGATGCATCACTTAAGATGAAACAGTTGTTGGGTATCTTTACATCAATTCGCTTTGCTTCATCAGTTGATGGGAATTTTCCACAAGGCAATTCACTCAAACGTTTTGCAATTTGAACAATGGGGTTAGTACCTGAACGCACAAATCTCTTCAACTTTTGCATATAATTTTCAAATGCAAAAGCACTACAACTGTCTAAGCTACCATGCTCCACAACCTCTCCTGCTAAATGTATCAAAGTGTGCACATTATACACAACAAATTCATCACCATACAAGACACTACCTTGCTTCACAAAGTATTCTAATAACTGATGGGCAAAACTAGTATGCTCTTTTGCAAGACGAGGGCTGACTAAGATAGAAATGGCAACATTTAATGACAGAAAGTGATCATAAAGATCTCTCCTTAAAATACCATCTAAAACAACTTTGCCTGTGTACAGAAGAAACTGTCTAAATTCAGTTGCTTTCCACCTGTCAATGTCGCTAAGGGACCGTGGTTTTCGTGCAAAACTAGCTGGAATGTAGGGTTTTAGGTGAACCAATCTTTCACTAATCATGTTTACATTCAAAGCTGACATCCTCACTTCACGCTTACCCCTGATCCAAAGCAAAAGAAGCTTCTTCATCACTCCTAAGCAAACCTGATGCATGTAGTCAATAGGGAACTGTTTGACCATATCAACATTGGGAATGCTACAGAATGGGCTAGTACCCTTGTGATGCTCTTGATTGGACTGCTGACGAAATGACAAATCAGTACGAAGAATAACATTGTCCACCAGAGGAAACAGCATCCTACCACCCCACATACCCCTCTGGCAGCACTTGTCACATCCAAAGTAACCAGAATACAGCTTGGTACCTTTCACAAATGCTCTTGCTGGTGCATCACAAACTATACACCTCATAGAAACTTTAACATTTCGATTACCACACTGCACACCATTTTCTAAAATCTCACAAAGGTCCCTAATAAGGTCCTCTAGAAACTCTAAATCTTTAGGTTTTGAAGACCCATATGTCAACACAACAGGAAAAACAGCTATGTGATGGAAATTTACAATTGAGCAAAGCACTGGCCACAAAGAAGCTGATGAACTTTTGAAAAGAGGCAAGCCATCTATATTTAAGGATATCTTAATGCATTCGGCTGAATCTATGTCGCTGTTTGGATATCTATTCCAATGTTTAACCAGGGCTTCAGCAATAGGAAAATATATATATTGCATGCCTGACTTCAGTTGTACAGGTACATCCCTAGCTGTCTTTAACAGCCCACGAGCCGAGCTACACAAGTTAGGATGCCCAGATTGTTTTAAGATCTTCAATAAACTATCTACAGCATTTTGTTTGACTTGAAAATTACTAGCCCAATTTGCTAATCTGTCTGATAGAACACTGTCTAGTGAGCAATCATCATCTGATGATTCGTTTACACTGTCACCGCTGTCACCTACTGCATTCAAATCAACCCCATTGTCACACTGAAAAACTAAATTTTCCTGTTGTGCAATTTCATTACTGGTTTCAGGTTGGAGTTGGTTAATTGCATTGTTTTGTCCCACGTCTGATTCTGGATAAACGCCAGGAAAGGTATCATATACAGAAGTACTATCAGACTCGTCACTATCATAGGTAGTTGAAACTCTGCTATGGGAAGCTTTCAAAGCTCGAGTCGCAGCAACCCAATTTTTCTGGTACTGAGAACGTTTACGTTTCATATTTGGCTGTAATAGATGGAAACACTGGCAATTAGACTTTCACATTTTTAAATGCTCAAATGCAAAAAAAATCAGACTGGGAATATTAAATTAATGAACATCCATCCGTCTTTTATATAGATTTAAATAAACAAAGCCAATCTGTTGTCTTATAATTTATAAACAAGTGCTTTTGCATGCACACTGGCAGCATGTTTTCAGACTGGAAGTTGCAACCATGACAGACAAACACATATCAAAGCTTGCAAACAATGTATTGAAATCATTAACTTATTGCAGTTTGATTGAGTAGAGGTTTGTCTGAGTAGCTAAGACAATAATTTTTTAAAAGAAAGTTGCACATTATTTTTTCTCAACTGATTCGAACTCTGTAATTAACCCTTCCTGCATAAGCATTGGGAAAATAACCTGATTAGTATGTAAGTACAAGGTGGATGTCAGGTGGTCAATTATAGGAGCACACAAATTAACCCAATTTTAGGGACCGGTCATAAAGTAATTACTAGAGGGGGTGGAGGATAAATGAAATTTCAAGTACATATTTCCATACCCTCCCAAAAACCTATGGAGAAATTTTCGTAACCCTCATTCAATTTAAGTGAAAATTTTCATACCCCCCCCCCTCTATCATTAATTCTGTTTTAACATTTGTCTTGCATTTATCTATATTTCGAAACTCTCCAGTTTGTGATAACTCTCCCACTTCTTGTAGTGGCAAACATATCCTCAACATTTTCCGCAGTCTTTCTGATTCTGACATACTAGCGTGACATACTCAATGTGACACTTCCTCATAAGGTTCATCAAGTTCTAATGCCGGTGTGAGCTTGCTAGCATTGACAATATATATTCAGATGTATCAGATTTGTACTCCAAAAGTTCAACGGATACTGAATCCCACTTATCATCTGACATTGAGTCAGACTAAAACATATACCTTGTGTTGATTTAATAATTATAGTAAAGCAATTCTTTCCAAACTTAAATCTGGGCACAAATACATTCAATATTCAACAATAGTTATAAAATGTAATGTTTTCCGTACCTATAGTACTAAGATTTTGGTACCACCCTAGAGGTTCTGTTGTTTTTTTGTACCCCCCTCAGAGGTTCTCTTGTACCCCCCAAAAATATGTACCCCCCAAAAATATCCTCCACACCCCCTAGTAAATACTTTATGACCGGTCCCTTATTGCAATTTTGCACTCAAGTTTGTCGTAATAATCTATCTCGAAATTATTTTATTCTGTCTAGTTTGCACTGGTTGAATATGCTAATGCTTCAGTCACTTGAACCCCCCCCCATGGGACATCACAGGGAATTTAACACCAACCAAGTGTTAAAAACATTAATCCCCCCGCCCCTGGAGCAAACTGGTCTGTAAAAATCTAAACAGTATACCTAAACAATAAATAGAGTTTCTGCATCATGCATGCATTTGAGTTACCGGACTTCCACAACTTTCAGATTGAATTTTCGTCAAGTATTCGAGGTCGGTGTATATAGCTATCAATTACATGACCGTACATACAGATCGGTCACCAAGTCTGCCTCAGTTTGCTGAGAGTTTTTTATGGAGCGAAAGAAAACTGAGATCTGAAACAATTGAGCAAAATGTTTAACCCATTGAACGGCAGTGCTCTGCCCTTGACGAGTAATAGTAAAGTTGGGTGCATTGCCACTTAAAGGTTAACAGGGCAGATAGTCTGATTATCCCATTCAGTGGCAGTGCTCTCTCCCTGACAAGTAAAATCGTCTGGCGTTTGACAAAGGAAATCATAAAGCCTGGCACATTGCCCCTTAAAGGGTTATTATAAGCAAAAACCTGTTGACCTGCCTGTGTTTTCTCAGACGTGCAGTGCATTTTACTATTTTGTTCTATTAATGGAAAAGGTTATGCCTGATTGAATATTAACAGCAATGGATGACTGAGTAGAGACACATAGATTAATATTATGCTCGAAAAAAATCCCCTATTATTCTAAAACAAATTCCAGAGTATAAAATAAAAAAACAGTTAGTTACTTCCACCCCCACACCCTCCAGGGCACAGCATGTTCTTAAACAGGCCTTAAAATATCGGTCGGTCACGGACATTGTCCGACCCATTCATGAAATTGTCCGACGTAGAAAGGAAACCACCGGACATTCTGTCCGACCTAAGTGAAACTGAGGTTTATTGTTTGTCCGACCCGAGTGTATTGGTGTCCGACCGAACTGTAGCTTTGTCCGACGTAAATCAAAATGTTAAATGGAAAATCACAATACTATTGTATAAAAGGTCAACTGGAAATGTTGTTTTATTGTAGTCGAGCGGGGGGCGGCGAGCGAAATGGTGAAGTGGAAAACGGGCTTAAGTTGTCGAAGTCTTTTTGATACTGCTGTTCTGGAAAGCAAGTTAATTTTGGCTTGGAAATAAGTATGAAAGAAACAAATTATCTTTACAACATTTACCGTTTATTCATTTGTGTCATTCAGACTTATTTCCGAGTAAAAAATGGACCGAAGGTCATCGGACATATGTCCGACCCAAACTCAACGTCACCGGACATTTTGTCAGACGGCCCTGGAAAAGATATTTTAAGGCCTGCTTAAATAGCGTTAAATCCCAGTAAATTTTGTTAATCCCCCGCTATGTTCCTGGGGCTGGTTTCCAATGACTGAAGCATAAAGGCTAAATATTTTACTCTTTCTTATCCAGATGAGTGAATCTTATTAATTTTGTCAGTTATATGTAACACCAGGTTATTTTACTTCTCTCGACACTAAATAAATTTCCTTGTCGAGAGAGAGAGCTTTTTGACTGAAACTACAACTATATTTTGATATATTTTTGCCACCAAAGAAAAGGCTACTATATATACTCTCATAAAAAATGTTAACATCATTTTCTCACTCTGACTCTGGTTCACCACAATCTTTGATAACCCAATACAGATACATATCATAAATTGTCACTTACAATCCAGTTCAATCCTTGCTGAATCAGAGCATTTATTTAACTAGTGTTCTAGTAAAAATACTGACTGCAAACCATCACACATGGCAATTGGCAGCCATCTTGGAATTTTGATATATCTCATATAAACATAAATGAGATCTATGTATATATATATATATATATCTATATATATCTATATATATATTTGCTAAAACCGATATCGAGTTCGCCCTTATTAACATTAGTAATTGAGTTATTAAAGTAATAGTTGTTTTAAACTAAGCTTTATCTTTAATTAAAAGATTGTCATTTCCGTCAATACAACTTGATAGGTGAGAGTGTTTAAAATGTCTACTCATAATATTAAAATAGGATCTTTTGCAGTATTCAACTCAAATACAATAATCTTATGCGAACTAGCATAATCCCCAACCTAGAATAACACTTTTAGCTGCAAAAAGAAGTAAATTTACTTACTATAAAGATGATGAAAGGCTTGAATTTAGTTGAATTCCAGAACTGTTGTCAGCAATTAACGCGTTTCGTGAAGTGTGATGAAAATGACGGAACACAACGTGCGTTCACGATGCGTTGACGAAGATGACGTCACTGTCGATCTAAATATGATTGGCGGAACGCGCGGTTTGCCTACTAAATGCTGGAAGCTAGCTTCCCAAATTTAAAATCTCAAAAAATTAATCTCGAGGCGATATCAAAATTACCTTGCAAAGTGTGGTCCAAACGGCAAACGTTTTCTGTCAATGCGGCAACGTTTTGAGAACAGCTTTAGCTCACATTTCCAGAACCTTCATAACTTTTATAATAAAATCGATCTTCTTCGATCTTATTCTGGAAACAAAATAATTCTTCAGGCTTTGAGCCTGTGACTATGTCACTAATAAAATGTGATATATAAACATGAACAAACGCATTTGACGTATTACATCACATTTTCAATATCATTCCACATGACGTTCTGTGAACGTTTATAAACGTCAGTAAAATACGTAAATATTAACGCTCCTATAACGTTGTGACAACGTTCAAAAATATCCATTTCACAGTTCTGTTAACGTTAGTGAAATACGTAAAATGAGAACGTTTCTACAACGTTGTGACAATGTTCAAAGAACATCGCGTACCATTTGTAATTCGATCTCAATATAACGAGCAGAGATAACGTTCCGACAACGTTCTGCCAACGTTGGTGAATTACGTAAAAAAAGAACGTTCCAATAACGTTCAGACAACGTTGTGTGAATGTTTGGTCCAACCTAACCAAACCACAACCATTATACAACGTTCGGAGAACGTCCGTGCTAGCTGGGAATATATCAGTTATAAACCTCCTTCTCGGTTTATAACTCTAACTTAAAACAGAGCACCCATTGCGAAGTAGTGAACTAATTACTGATTGATAACAGTTTTTCCCATTAAATTTAATGAGATAATTTACTTTGATTTCCTGACTTTTGCATATTTTTGGTTGTGCAGGTCCTCATTTGCCAAAGCCAACTTAGCTGAGTCCATACTCGAAGTTGACTTTCAGATGCAGTACTAAATGTAATATTATCTGCATTTTTAAAATGCTACTGCAATAAAGTTTTGGACCTTTTTCTTAGCTTAAATAAAAATTCAGTATTTTAGAATCATTTTCATATATATATGACCATCAAAACTGTGGCAATTGATACACCAGATGGAAAGCTTAGTTTAAAGATAGAGCAGAGCCCAGCAAATAACTTTAAAACCAAACATAATAAAAGTAAAAAATTTATTAGCTAACGTTTCGTGGTTCAGGGGCGGATCCAGCCAAAAATCTGACCGTAGCATTTTCCAAGACCTCGCATAGCTAGGGGGGTCCGGGAACATGCCCCCCCGGAAAATTTTTGAAATTTGAAGCCCGGAAATGCCATTTCCTGCGTTCTGAGCACTGCATGTGACCATTAAATTTGCCC